GGTGATTGAGTTGTGGTTCATGTTGGGGATGGAAGTAAACCCTTCAACAAAACAAACAAGAAAAATAGAAAAGTAGTAGGGACATCGGGATTTAATGTGGAAAAACTCAAAATCGGGAAAAAAATCACAAGGCCACACCACAATAAGAATTCTACTATGAAAATTGGGAGAAATAAGTACATATCTATATTCTCTCTCTCTCCCCCCTTTTTTTCTCTTCTCTCTTACACCGTTCTCTCTAACAAAATACAAGAGAAAGTCAAGTAATTAACACCAAGAGACACCACCCTTCAGAAAAAATGAGAAGGAAAACCATTCGGTTTGCCTCAAAGCATTGTCGCGCCATTTTGGAATGTTGCGGTGCTCAAGCCTCTGTCATCATGATGCTGCATCAATTAAACCTGCAGTGCTCTAACGCTCAAACCTGTTGCACTGCGACATCACATAATGCTGAGGCGCCTAATCTATAGTGCAGCGACGCTTTGCTCCCTGTCGTTTCTCCCAACAAATTTTATAGCACTGGGGCTCTTAGGAACACAACACACAGGTGCTCGGGAACACAGCGTCGAGACGTTGTACAAAGAAAAAAATTTCAGGTGCTGATCATGTGGCTTTGATGATGCCAATTAGGTAGTACCGTAGTAGTTTTGCGATTGAAATTGAGCAATGGTCCGACAGTGATGCTTGTGTTGGAGCTTGAAGATTCTTCATGCCTCTATACTTTTTTAATCTCAAGCCAATGTTTAATCCCCTTTCATGTTGAGAGGCTTATTTATAAATTTTTTTAGAGTAGCATGTGCCTTAAATATAATCAAAATTTAGAATACTTTTTTAGATGACATGTATCAAATCCACTAATGATATATTATTTTTGTAATATTTAAGTGTCTCAATGATGTCAGAATTAGATAATATTTAGCTCATTGGATTTTTCTTATCGTGACGCATTATTTGACTATAAGCATGAGAAGTTTGGGATTTCTTTGGTCATTCATTTAGCATGTCAAAGTTTTCTATTGCGCTTCAGTATTTGACCTTAGCTCATGCTGACTTGAATATGACAACTTTTGGTGTCATTGAGTTCGTCTTATCAAGACATTCTATTTGATTATAAATTTGTTGAAATCAAAATTTGAATGATCTTGAATTAAATTAAAAAAATGTCCCAACAAGACTGTTTTTTATGGCATCAAGGTCAACCCAAAACTTGTATCCCTTTATTTAGGCCATAGAGTTTGATGTTTAATTGCTAAGTTTTGATGTTTTACATTATTAAGATGAGAAATCAATGAGGTTGGGGCAATGTGAGCGAGGTCATAAGGTGAAGTTAGTGCTAAGATTTATGCTCTAAGAGCGCTTAAAAATTGAAACGAGCCAGATCAAAATTGATTTAATTTTGATCCGAATTAGCTTAAAATCGTATGAATGGAACTACTTTTGGAACATTCACAGCCCTACGTGAAGTAGCATCTCAAGGTGGCATTTTTAATAAAGCTATCGTCACGATTAAGTAAGCTAACATGCTTTTATTATTTATGGCATTAAACAATCTACTTTAGCTTTACGATTTGTTTAATTAAAGCTCAGAATGTGTTGCAATTCTATTGCACCATAATATGTCGGGTCAATTGTTCAAAGCGTCAATGAAAGAGATAGGAATATTATTAGTAGAATTTGAGTTGGATGGTTGAAGTAGAGGAATGCATCAAAGTCTATTGTGTGATAAAAATACCACTCAAATTTAAGTGAAAACTTTATAACATGGTGGTGAGACCTGCAATGTTTTATGACATAAAATGTTGACAATTAAAAGAGAAGCATAAAATTAAATTAGGTGTTGCAGAGATGAGGATGCTCTTGTGGATGAGTGGCTTTACACTTAGAGACAGAATGCAAAACGAGTATGTACGTGAAAAGGTTGGAGTAGCTCTAATGTCAGTTAAGTTTAGAGAGAGTCGCCTAAGATGAGCTTCTTCATGGTATCAGAGCGCTAGGTTGAAGTTTTTTTTCTCGCAAATTGATGCCTCCGCATTGTCAACCTCTTCTCCTGTTATAGTTCTTTCTGATACTATTTATGCTTCTCATATAGTAACTATACCTCCTCAGCTAAAATTCTTCATGGCTAATGTCAAAACCATGGTAACTGTTCAGTTAACCACCGAAAATCATCTTCTATGGAAATCACAACTTTTGAAGTTGTTTGCAGGAAACAACTTTGAAGGGTATCTCACTGGTGCTGTCGTCAAACCGCCTAAAGAGATCACATATGTCGATGGATCCTCTATCTTAAACCCTTCGTTTCAAACCTGGATGCTCATAGATCAGCATCTTGCTTCCGCCATCTACTCAACTGTGTCACCGTCTCTTTTTCCATTAATTTTAAATCTTTCTTCAACACATAACATCTGGACGACTTTGGAACTTCGACTCCAATCAACGAATCGCTCCAGACTTCTTCAGCTTAAAAATGAATTACACCAATTACAGCTTGGTAACAAAACAATGTTTACCTATCTCTCAGACGTCAAGGCAAAAGTAGACGCCATTGCTGCTGCAGGGTCATCCATTGACGTTGAAGATATTATACTTTATACCATTAATGAACTGACATTTACCTATAATTCCTTCAAAGCTATTATTCGCAACCAGCTTCAACCGATTTCCTTGGATGACTTCTACGCACTGCTGTGTAGTGAAGAACTACACATCACGACTGCAACACATCGTGACAACATTAACAATTCTACAACAGATCCTAGTTTCACGCTTGCAGCTACTCGCGGCTCCTCTCGGCATCGCGGCTCTTTCTCTTCTAATTACCGCGGTCGCTCTTCCCCTGTACGTTCATCTACTGGATGTGGTTCTGCTCGATCATCCTCTAGTTGTGCATCTCCCTCATGTCGTGGAAGTCGTCAGCCCCGTACGACTATTGATTGCCAAATTTGTGGGAAGTATGGGCATTCAGCAATTCACTGATGGTACCTTCATGATACATCCTATAATTCAACACCGCAAGCTTATATCACTACACATACTTCCCAATCAGCTGGCTGGTTTTTAGACTCAGGTGCAACATAGCACTTAACTTCCAACCCAGCTCAATTAAACAATGTCCAGAATTATACGGGTACTTCTTAGGTTCATGTAGGCAATGGTCAGCATCTACCAATTGCAAATACCGGTCAAGGTTTGCTTCTCACCCCTTACCATAAGCTCCACCTACCTAATGTTTTACATGTTTCCCATCCCTCCCATAATTTACTTTCCATACACAAACTAACCAATGATAACTCGTGTTTTGTGCTACTTGATGCTCATGACTTTGCTATTAAGGACTCCCGGACCAACAAGACTCTTCTCCAAGGACCCAATCATCATGGTCTTTACCCAATTTAGCTTCAATCGCACCTTCGCCATTCGACTCCTTCAATCTCCGCTTTAGCTGCTACCTATGCTTCCACGTTCTTATGGCATCAGAGGCTTGGGCACCCCTCTACTTCATGCTAGCAACATCTATTGTCTATACTATCTATTATTCCTAGTTTTAGTAATCCACATTGTAATGCTTGTGCTCAAGCAAAATGCGCTAAGTTGCCTTTTTCTTTGTCTACTACTACTACATCTCAATGCTTAGAACTTATCCATAGTGATGTTTGGGGACCTTCACCAATTTCATCAATGCAAGCTTATCTTTATTATGTTATTTTTATTAATGATTATATTCTTAATTCTTGGATTTATCCTTTATGTCATAAATCTGAAGTGTGCTCCAAATTTTTTCAATTTAAAGCTCTAGTGGAAAAAAATTCAAAAACCTATAAAAATCCTAAGAACAGATGGTGGAGGAGAATATGTCAACAAAACTTTTCAAAACCATCTCCTTAACTTTGGTATCATCCATCAAATTTCTTGCCCCTACACTCAACAAAATGGGGTTGCTGAACGGAAGCATAGACTCTTGCTTAACACTGTGCGTGCCTATTGTTTAATGCATATTTACCTTCCAAATTTTGGTTGGATGCTCTCTTCATAGCCACCTATCTTATTAATCGTATCCCTTCTTCCAATACGCAAAATCTCTCACCATATGCTCTCTTATATAATAAATCCCCAAATTATTCTCATTTGGTTGTATGTGTTATCCTTGGTTACAAACACATCTCTCTCACAAATTAGCACCCCGATCTACCTCGTACATCTTCCTTGGTTATGCTCCCAATGCAAAGGGCTATAAATGTCTTGATCTCAATACTTACAAAGTCTATACATCTCGCCATGTCCATTTTCATGAAACAATTTTTCCTTTTCAATCTACCACTTCCACAGTTTCTACTCCACTCAAACAAGTACCTCATACATTTTCTCCAGCAACCTTAGTTCCTATCTCCACTATTCAACAAGCTCAACCCACACCCATAACTGAAACCCCTCCTACAAACAGTCAACAAAGCCCTGTTCAACTACCATCCTCTCACTCAAACTCTGCATCTTCACCACCTTCTACTACATTAGACATTCAAACCCAACCAATTCCTCCTCCTCGGCATTCCATGGTCACAAGGGCACAAATCGATCATCTAAAACCAAAACAAATCCTTGACCTACAACATTCTATTATCCCAACAAATCCATCAGGATTTACTCAAGCATCTCAGCATGCAGTTTGGCATAATGCCATGAACCAAGAATTTGATGCTCTTCAAAAACAAGGAACCTAGATACTTGTCCCTCAAAACACAACAACTAATATTTTGGGTTGTAAATGGCTCTACAAAATTAAATACAACTCGAATGGTACCATTGCTCGCTACAAGGCTCATCTTGTTGCGCAAGGGTTCAAGCAAGAACAAGGTTTAGACTATCATGAAACCTTCAGTCCTGTAGCCAAATTTTCTTCCATTCGAATTTTTTTAACATTTCCTGTCACAAAGCAATGGTTGATTTTACAACTAGACGTCTCCAATGCATTCTTACATGGACAACTTCAAGAGACGGTTTACATGAAGCAACAAATCGGTTTCATTGATACTCAATTTCCCAATCATGTCTTCCTTTTAAAAAAGGCTAATTATGGTCTTAAGCAAGCGCCTAGACAGTGGTTCTCCACTTTCTCAGCCTACCTGCATCAATATGGCTTTCGGTCCAGCACTGCAGATCCTTCCTTGCTGCTGTTTCAACACAATTCAGTTCAAATATATATCTTAGTGTATGTAGATGATATCTTGCTCACTGGAAATTCTATTTCTGATATTGACAGACTTCTAGCTGCATTGCATTTGAAGTTCTCCACGTGCAATCTTGGAAGACTACATCACTTTATGGGGTTGCAAGTTAGCTATACATCTCACGATCTTCATCTGGCTCAATCCAAATATGCAATGGATCTTCTTCACAGGGCTGCCATGGATAATTGCAAACTGTTACTTACTCCACTTCCAACTAAATTTGCTGCAATCTCCTCCAATAATACTCCATACGATAATCCTGAGCATTATCGTCAACTCACTAAAGCTCTTCAATGCTTAACAATTTCCCGCCCTGTTCTATCTTATGCAGTCAACTTTCTCTGTCAACATATGCACCTCCCTCTTCACTTACACTATCAGCTCTTAAAACGGGTACTAAGGTATGTCAAAGGCACTATCTCTCTCAGGCTACCTATTACACCTTCAAATCTTGTTCTTCAAGGTTTTGCATACTCAGATTGGGCCACATATCCCATCACTCGTCATTCGGTGACTGCTATTGTGCCTTTCTAAGCTCCAAACTAATCTCTTGGACTATAAAAAAACAAACGTTTGTAGCTCATTCCTCCATAGAAGCTGAGTATAGAGCTCTCTCCATTGTTGCTTGTGATATAAGTTGGCTAAGACGTCTTCTCTCAGAATTCTAAATACATTCGATTGAGCCTACAAATCTTTATTGTGATAATGTTTCAACTCTTGCTTTAGCCAATAACCCCGTTTTTCATGCACGAACAAAACATATAGAGATTGATTTTCACTTCGTACGTGACTGTATTCGGGATCATCATATACAAGTTCATCACATCTGCTCACAAGATTAGCCTGCTGATCTTTTTACAAAAGCATTAAGTGCTCAAAAGCATATTCAGCTGTGTGACAAGCTAACACTATAGTCATCTACTATTAGCTTGTGGGGGGCTGATAAGGAGACTTGATAAAGAATTTCAATTATACATAAGTCAGCTACCTTATTCTAGTGCATGCTCCACCTTCTCTGTTATGTGCATGTACTTGATTCATCTCCAACGCTTGATTCTCTGCATTTTTATCACAGCCGTTAGTTGCTAACTAACTGGCACTTTATATATAACATATGTAATGCCTAATGAGATTAAGGAAAATGAACAATAACTCACTTTCCCTGCTACTCTGCTATGCCTCTCTTGTGCTTCTCTTGTTTCATTTGATTGTAGGTCTCAGTGCAGAGGAAGACGAGCTTCTTCAGTTTGCTCAATTAAATTGCCTAAAAACCCTTATAATAAAGATTAAAAAATAGAGTGACGAGAACAAATGACTTTAAAAAACATATAACTTTGTTACGGGCTAGAATATATGCGGCGGTAGAGTTTGCAAATTCACGTCCGAGCGTTGCACGAATATTCGGCACACAAACAGAAAAGAAAATGAACACCATGATTTTTACATGGAAAACCCAGAAGAGGGAAAAAAACCACGGGGCCACGCCCAGCTGAAAAGTTATACTAGTGTTTTTGTAAATTACAAGAAAGTGATTTATGTCACAAATCGGGACGATCAGATTACAACTTGAAGAAAATTTACAAAGTTTTGCAGAATCCCGTCGTTTCCCGAAAATCCGGCAGAGTTCCGGCGTATTCAGGCGGCGGGAAGAGCTCTGGCGGTGGTCGATGAGGAGAGGATTCTCCCTTTTCCCCTTTCTCTTCTTCTTCCCTTCTTTTTCTCTCTCTTCACTTGAGTCCCCTTTGTGTAGAATGAGGGCTCTATTTATAGTTTTTCTGGAGTGGCATAGCTCGTAAATATGTGTGAGATCATGGGCGAATAGGGAGTGGTCTAATGGACGGCCGATATTGAACCCTTCGATTGTGCATCGTTCATTGGACATTTAGAGGCCTTAATGATGTCGGAATTTGGATATCTTGGGCTCGTTGGATTCGTCTCTTCGAGCCGTTCGATTCGAGTATAAGCTCATTAAAATCGGAGACCGTTTGGTAACTCAAATTGTGATTTGAACCTTCCAACAGCGCTTCGGGTCCTTGATTTGGACCGCATTTAAAAGAAGACAAAAATATTAATAGTCGAGATGCTTAAAAGTATTGCATTACACTGCCCATTATTTTTGATTATATGATGATACGCTATCAAAATAATAATAATAATAAATGAAACTATATTTCAGTCAAAATAGCCCACTTGCTATGTGGACCCCACTATCAATCGCTTCTTCAAATTCTGCCAGTCGTGATAAGCGCCGTTAGAAGAAGTTTGCGCCAATTAACTCCAATAAATTCTCATACAAACTTCACTTCAAAGCATGCTATTGGTTCAATTATAGTAAAGCGAAATTTTATACTTTTGCTTTCTTTGCATTAATTCTTGAAATGTTTAACTTTTTTTTTTCCCAATAAAGCTCTTTTCAAGTATATAGGAGAAATTATTACGTGCAATTATCAGATATAATCCGAAGATGAATCAGAATGCATCACATCATCTTTTTGTTATATATTAGTAATATGTAACGCTCTATATCAGATGACGTGGTACATCCTGATTCATCTCCGGACTATCCGGTGACCACATGTACTAATTTCTCCTATAATAGTGATACATTTGTATTTGTCACTTATGAATTAAAAAACAAACATTTATGGGCCAATGGTAAGTGATCTTACTTTATCATGTCGTTGGGTATCTCTTAATCATCTTTTTTTATTTGTAATAAAGATGTTGATGCAATGCGCACCTCTAAAATTGTTATATTTTAATATATCATTGTTACGTGTCAAAATATTTATGATAATAGAGAAAATTTAGCATCTTACTTTTGAACAAAAATATGCATCAGTGCTTTTATTTAGAAAATTTGAAAATGAAGCAAAATATATGAAGTCGATCCAGTTGAAATGATATGATCTATGATGTAAGTAACACTACAAAAATTTGCATTTCCTTTGGCTTAAAAAATGTAATTATAAAGTTAAAAATATTAATTTGGTCTCTTTTGATTGTAGTAATGATTATTGGAGAAGTAATCTAGGGTAATGACGATCGAATAATGATGATTGAGTAATGACTAGTAGGTGATGATGGTTAGATAATGGCGGCAAGCAATTGCAACTAGATGCAATAACGGAGTCAGGGGGGTCAACTTATAAGTAACTGACAGGGATCGACCTGTCCGGTCAGGTCATAGAGTCAAGGGGCAACGCCCCTGAGGGTTTTCGGGGGCAACGCCCCCAGAACAAATTTTGGTTTTAAGGATATGTTGGAATTCAAATTAATAAATAAAATGATAAATTCTCTTTACCATTTTTCTTTATATTTGATTTATCGTTCCCTAATAATAAGACCTCTATACAATGTATTTAATTATGCTGTGGCCAATTGTTTATAGATCATATTATTTTAAAATTTTTAGGGGGAGGGCGGGGCAATTGCCTAAAAATTTTTTAAATAAAGACTAAAAAATAGATGAAGGTGAACAAAGCACCTAAATAATCATATAATAACCATTCATATAAAAGATATTTTAATTTTTTAGGGGGGCAATCAATGAAGGGTTGTGAAGATAATCAAGCAACAAGAGTTGAGCAATGTTGGTTGGATAATAGTAATTGGACAACGATGTTAACGGCCTTGTACGTTCACTACCCAAGGCCGTTAACATCAATCAACTCACATGATTCTAGAATTTCTTAAATATCTAAGCTTTCTCGAAATTTATTTTCGAATCTCTTTTATGTGCAGAATGAGATCTATTTATAATTTTTTGTGTGATACTTTAGTAATTTTAGTCAAAATCTCAAAACACTTCATCAGACGATCCATATTAATTTTTTTTTATGACAGAACATTCTTTTACCATTTAATTGCCTTATTGCCCTCAAATTGAGTGATATTTCAATTGTAAGCACGCAAAGATTCAAAAATTATTTGATATCTCAAATAGTATTACAAAGTTCTCAACTGTAATTCAAGGCTTAATTTGGGCTCATTTAAATTAAGATCTGATACGTCGTCAAAAAATTATCTTGATCGGGCATGAATCTCGATGCAAAATCAAGTTGGAAACTTCCAAAATTAATTCGGAGACCATCCTAACTCCGATTTCAGCAAACTTACAGTCAAACTGAGCGGCTCGGAAATACGAACTTAACGACGCCAAATTCGACTCAATTCGAGCCCAAATGGGTCCAAATCAAGGACCCGAAGCGCTGTTGGAAGGTTCAAACCACAATTTGGATTACCAAACTGTTTCCAAACATAGCAAGCTTGTACTCGAATCGAGCGGCTCAACGAGACGAATCCAACGAGCCCAAGATCACTAAATTCCAACATCATTAAGATCTTCAAATGTCTAAAGAACGGTGCATGATCAAGGGATTTAACATCGGCCGTTCATCCGACCACTCCCCATTTACCCTTGATCTCTCACCTATTTACAGGTCATGCCACTCCAAAAAATCTATAAATAGACCCCTCATGTCTCTTGAAAGGGGACCGGAGCAAGAAGAGAAGAAGAGAAGATAAGGAAGAAGCTCCTCCTCAACCACCGCCGGAGTATCACCGGACCACCGTCGGACCTTCGCCGGACCACCACTTAAGGTCCTCACCTTCGCCGGACCACCACTTGAGGCCCTCACCTCCGTCGGACCACCGCTTGACGTCGTTGCTCCGCCGAACCATCATTTGAGGCCCTCACCTCCGCCGGACCACCGCCTGACGCCGTTGCTCCACCGAACTACCACTTAAGGCCCTCACCTCTGCCGGATCACCGCATGACGACGTTGCTCCGCCGGACACCACCTGAGGCCCAGACTTCTGCCGGACCACCATCTGAGGCCTGGACTTCCACTGGACTACCTCCTGAGGCCCGGACTTCTTCTAGACCACCACTTGAGGCCCTCACCTCCGCCAATCCACTGCCTGACGTCGTTGCTCCGTTAGATTAGCACCTGAGGCCCAGACTTCTTCCGAACCACCACTTGAGGCCCTCACCTCCGTCGGACCACCTCCTGACGTCGTTGCTCCGTCGGACCACCACCTGAGGCTCGGACTTCTGCCGGACCACCACCTTAAACCCGAATTTCTATCGAAGTATCGCCCTGCTGACTACGGTCTTCCCGACCTCCGTCGCCTACTACGGTCACTCCGACCTCCATCACAGGACAACGGTCTTTCTGACCCTAGTCATTAAAAATATGTGTAACATAAAACAGGTTTAAGAATCAGATCATTTGAGACAATTTTCTTCCTGCTTCCTAAAGCTATTTTTCAGCACAAAATTTTTAATTTTTGTACTAAAAAATTACTTTAAAAAACAGTAATAAAATTATCTCAAACGAAATCTTAATTATCATTATTGTACGTGAGATTATAATTAGTTGAAGCCACAAATTTTGCTCGGATATCCAATGGGTTGAGGCTTGTTATGTTCCCATCTATTTCTTTATGCTTGGTTGGGGACAGCTTTTTATTTTTTTTTAAGTAATTTTTTAGAATAAAAGCTTATAACTTATTCTCTTTTTATGAACTTAATTCACTAAAATTTAGTAGTATTTTTTAATATATATTTTTAGTATAAAAATTTATTTGTTCAAAAAAAATTTTATACTAAAAAATATTTTAAAAAATAGTACAAAATTTTAGTGAATTAAGTTCATAAAAAGAGAACAAGTTATAAGGAAGATGGACCAAAAGATCAGATTTTAAAAGAAGATTAGCCGTTGGATTTAATTTAAAATAGTGAGCTGGTGTAAGTTTAAAGAGGAAAGGAGTAGGGACACGTGTCCCTTCTACAATATATTATAGAAATACATTATTAACCCACCGCTGCTTATCCGGGTGGTGAAGAGCCGGCTAGGCAAAGCCTAGATCCCTGGTTCGAATCCCTTAGTAAGCAATGAAAGCCTTAAGTGTTGGCCCGTGTAAATTGGTGTTTTTATTGGCCTAAGGACAATGCTTACTCGTCACAAAAAAATAATAATAATAATAATAAGCTCCTATTTATTATTTGATTTTTTGAAGTAGATATTCAATTTGTGCCTTAATTTATGTGGGCTCATAAAAAGGATTTGTGACTCAACTACTATTTATGTGAAATTAAAGGATCTTATAGGAGGTATTATCATGGCAAATTCAACAGTTGATGAAGATCAAATTGGCCAGTTAATTAAGATATATAGATTAAGCTTGCTTAATGATTAAGATAAGTATTTAATTTTGGGGATTAAATGAGTGGCCTTGAAAATTATTTGGTGAGCTTTAAGTGGCTTAATCTCTGCTTAAGCTAAAATCAAAGAGGCCAAAGACTCATTTTTGTTACATAAAGATAGAAAATATATTTTAGAAATAATTATAATAATCCATTTTTATTCAAGGTATTCGTTGACATGGAGAGTTAGATGATTTTTTTTTTTTTGGGAATTCGAGAAAATTAAATCATAAATACAGAGTGTTGGTTCTGAGTGAATTAAATCATAAAATAGCACAATTCATGCATGTGATATTAATCGTATTTATGAGAGTATGTTGGTTCGTTGGTATGTCCTCTTAGGAATTTAATAGAAAATTGACCTTGTATAAGGGTATGTATTATTGGAGAAATAGAATGAATTGTGAAAATTTTATTAATGAGACAAAACTGTGAGGCCATTAAATCAAAGACAACAATATCTATGTTTTGGGCTAGAATATTCGGACAATAAAGTAAGAAAAATTGTGCTTCTTAGCGGTGTACGAGTATCCAATTAACTCACAAACAGAAACAGTAAAAACACCAGAACTTTTACGTGGAAAATCCTAGAAAGGGAAAAACAATAGTGCCATGCCCAATGGAAATGATTTTACTATTGTTTGAATAGATTACAAAGATTGCCCTGTCTTGAAACTTGAGGATGGTGAGATTACAATAGTTTGGAGAGTTGGGCAGAAGTCCGTTGTCAATTAATAGCCAAGTGGAAGTCTGGTGATGGTTGTGTGTCGGGCAGAATTCCTGCGACAGCTAGTGATCCAGCAGTTGTCCGCCATCAGTTGATGATTCTACGATGATCGGTGGTCCCCTGATATGAACTTAAGCTTAATTAATTAATTAACTACAAGCTTAAACTCGGATTTAATTCTACGAGTTCAAGCTCACTCCTATATAACAAAAGAGAGAATTGACTATGATTGAATCAATTATTATAATAAAATTATATATATAAAAAAAGAAATTAGAAGATAAATAATAAATAATCATTGGAGATAAGAAATCGACTTATAATTTTAAATATCTTTAATCATGTTATACTTGAACACTTTAATTATAATATATTTAAACGTATTATATATTAATATTTTTTAAATCAATCAGCTGAGGAGCTAACAAGTTGAGTCAAAGACTTCATTTGAGACCGCTTTTTTATTACTTTCTAAAGCAGTTTTTTAGTAGAAAAATTGGCTCAAATTTGACTTATTAGCTTCTCAAATTTGAGCCGACTTGACTCACTTGCACCGACATGATTTTCCCAATCATAAAATTATGTAACAATCTATTCTTTCGTAGATTATATATCATATAAATATAAAAGCTGTTGGTCCTAATGTTTTTTCGATTGATTTTGATTTGACCTAAGACCAGTATTGCGGCCCGGCTTAGAGAACTTCACTGAAGCTGGTTCGGTCCAAGATCAACGCACAGGCCGCAACGGCCGAAACTGCCACAGGTAAGACCATGCCACGTTATCTTCACAAATCGCCGAGGGAAAGAATCCAGGGCTTTCCTCAGGGTATATTCCTTCTCTAAACATCCTTACGGAACTTCTAATGGCGCAAAGCGAACTAAGTATGGAACTGTCTATAAATTAAGCACAAAGCTCATCTTCTTCCCCCCATAGGTCAATCTTCTAGTCTCCATTTGCTTCTTCGGAAGTCTTTGGTTGCCTATTCGGCTTTCCTTTGCTCTTTTACGATTTCTTTCACGGGCTTCTTCTTGCTACTCTCTTCCTTTTTTTATCTGACGTGCCCGGGGGAGGACTGAGAAGTTGTTAACTCGGTCTCGTGAGATTTCAGATTTTGTGAGGTCGCAGTTTGAGGTCGAGAAAGGCCTTTACCTTTCTGCTGGTAACAGAACACCTTCTCTCGTGTTACTGATTTGTTTTTTTTATAGTGGGCGATAGAGATTTTTGTTGGGGACCTTGAGTTTGGAGAGGGTAGGGGAAAGAGAGATGTCGAAGGGTGTGGAGAAGATGGCGTCGATGGACGCTCATTTACGGTTGCTGGCGCCGGGGAAAGTGTCGGAGGATGACAAGCTTGTGGAATACGACGCGCTGCTCCTGGATCGTTTCCTCGAGATAGTTCAGGATTTGCATGGGGAGAACATCAGGGAAACGGTAACTTTTTTTTTAGTTGTTTGTTTGATATTGTTTATCTGCAGATGAACGAGGTTCTCCTTCTCCTTGTCTTTTTTTTTCCTATTTCATTATGAAATAAAAATGAAAAACTGAATATTTTGACGTTGATTTACAAGCCGTAGTGAAAGGTTTGGTTCTCTACCAGAGTTTAACTGAGCTTTATGAAGTTTTTTTCCTTAATTAACATTGAGTCATTTCTTATTTTTCTTAAGCAAATTTTATTTCTTTTTGTTCAAATTCTGACTAAAATTTTCATATTACGATGTTCCTATGTTGCACTTTACTCTGATTTGTTCGATTACTGATATTTTCTCTGTGAAATCTACTCTTCACATGATTAGATTCAAGTTCTGTAACTTGTAGCAAGATGATTAGAAGGATTTTACTAAATTCAGGCTGCAAACGTTGTTAGTTTGAGATTGACAAATCAATCTGTGCCTAAACTTATTTGCTTAAGGAAAGTTCAGAGTGCTCATAAAGTCATAATTCTTTATTTTTATGTTGTTAGGTGCAAGAGTGCTATGAATTATCCGCAGAATATGAGCGCAAGCATGATTCTAAGAAACTTGATGAACTGGGGAGTGTTCTGACAGGCTTGGACCCAGGCGACTCAATCGTAGTTGCCAGTTCATTTTCTCACATGCTTAACCTGTCAAACTTGGCTGAAGAGGTACAGATAGCAACTCGCAGGAGGATTAAGCCCAAGAAGGGGGATTTCGCTGATGAGGCTTCTGCCACTACTGAATCGGATGCTGAAGAGACCTTCAAAAGACTTGTTGGGCGGTTCAAAAAGTCCCCACAGGAAGTTTTTGATGCTCTTAAAAATCAAACTGTAGAACTGGTTTTTACAGCACATCCAACACAGTCAATTAGAAGATCTCTTCTTCAAAAGCATGGGAGGTATTTAAATTCTTAATTTGATCTTTTTCACTTTTCATAACTACTGTTCATTAAGAAATGATTGACTGCATAAGCAGGCATTATAATTATAAAGCAACTACATGATTTCCGAGAAACATTATAAAATCTATATTAGTCAATTTCTCTTTTTCAGAGAACATGGCCTCATCTTGATCGGTCATGTCATTTTTATACCAGGGACGTTTGAAATAAACAACTTTAGTAACTAAATAACTGCTAAGAACCAATCCATGAAGCCACTTGCAGTCCAGAACAGAACAACTATTTTGTAGTTAAGAATCTTATCATTTCCTTGAATTGCCAAACATAAGAGTTGCAGCTAACCATTTAAATTTGTTGTTCATTAAACCAAAAGTTGTTGTTTTTCTAGACACTATAATTACAATATTTTTTTTTTCAAAACTTCGATTTCACATATATTAATTTTTAGCTATGTGGCAACATTGTCATTTCACCTTCTCATTTATTGCTTGTCATGACTAATTTGTCTTATAGTTTGACATGCGTGCCAAACTCGTGGAATGTTTTTTTTTTTTTTTTTTCCTAATTTTTTTTGCTGACCGTTGATGATGTGTTTTCAAAAGTCCGTCTCATCTATACTTTGTTTTTCATTTATTTGATCCCTCGTTTAAATGAGTCATCACCTCACCATCATCATTGACCTTGGCTCATCTTTTTTCAGGCAGCTTTATTTATCCTTCTACACGATTCACTCTTGTGAAGTTTTGAATATCGCATCAACACTTATATGAATCTTACTGCAGAATTTCTATGTATGCCACCTTATGTTAACAAATTCTATCTTATTCCTCTCATTTATTTATTTTTTTTCTACCCTCACATTTAGCGCATTCCATTTAGCTCTTTCCGGCCTAAAGGTGGCAATATTAGTATAAATTTGATGCTCAAAGTTTCTTTGAAAACTGCACAAATTTCAAGTTGAGTCATGAGGCATATTCTTGCTTGAAAATAATATATATATATATATATATATATATATATATATATATATCTGTGTGTGTGTATGTATAGTCTACATAAATACAATTCTTTCTTTTTGTTAGATTTTTTTGTATTAATTTTTGTTAAAAAATAATATTTTGTGGAAAATAAAATATGATTACGTTTGTTTTGTGCTATTTAATTTGTAAGTCATTTCAAGTTGTCAAACCCTTGGTTTTATTTGTCTTAATAAGTTTGAGTTAACTAAAATTGATTTTGGATGGGATGGAAATCAATCCATTGAATCTTTAGATCTATGAAAGGGGTTGCACAAAGTGTTGTTCGGGATCACACATCCTATTTTAGTCTAGCAAGCTGAAATCGAGCCTTAATTTGAGTCCAAGTCAATTTTGAGCCGAAGTGAATCAAAAATTTTTAGTTTAAGCCAGATCCTTTTGCTCTAACTCGGCTCAAAGTCACCCTTGTTTGCACCATTCATTTAGCAGCCTGTCATTAAATGTTTAAAAAAGGTGTAATCTCATTCATAATGCCCTTTGCTAATGCTAGGTTGGCAGAGGTTGCTTTTATAAACTTGTCCCATCTATGTAGAGAGCCAATTTTATGACTCCAATTCATAGGTCTATAGCATAATGGGTGGAAGTTAATCACTGCCATAGGCCTTCCTCTTGTCATTCAAATGGATCAACAAGCAAATTTACATGATGATTAATTTGATGTTTTATTTTAGTTTTATTACTTTAAGTACAAATGCTCATTGTATGGGTACTCTATATCAATTTCTGATGGCATTACTTTTACTTTCAGATCTAGAAAATTGCTCCGTTTAGACACTAGTTTATGCATGTATTATTAAAGGTCAAATACTTGTGATTTGAATGGCATGTTTTAGGAAGTTCTTAAAATCGGGTAGATTGACTATAATAGCGTTGAGTCAACCTTTTAATATTATGTTCTTTAAGTTTTTAAATTCTGAGCCAAATTTTCCCTCAGGATAAGGAACTGTTTAATTCAGTTGTATGCCAAAGATATTTCCCCTGATGATAAGCAGGAGCTTGACGAGGCCCTCCATAGAGAGGTAATGCTTTTATATGTAAATGTTAATTTCTTTTTTTCTAAATGCATGCTGGATTCTCATTGACATCACCTTTTCTGAGTTTTTTAGTACATTCAGTGTGGATATATGTTTGCTTAGCGCCTTAGCCTCTTTTAATAAAGATTTTTTTTAATAAGTTTTGATTCAGAAAGATTATTCAAATTTGGTGTATCTTCACATTATGGTGGTTCCAAGATATAGACATATCTTTCATTGATACCCGAACATTCTAGTTTTCTGAAAAATCAAGTGCATCATGTTCTTATAATTCCCATAATTACTTTGATGAATTCCTTTCACGAAAACATAGAGAATTAACACAAATTGAACTGGTTCAAGTAGTAGTTATGAATGCATGCCTGATTTATGTTCCAGAGAAATTTGAGTAAATATGAAAAAAAATAATAGACTCCTCGGGAGGCACTACTCAGGAAGTAGTTGCCAGAGAAGGTTGAATGTATAATATTGTATATATTGAAAGAGATGTTGCAGGATCGTCTGATCTGAATGCTCATTGCAATCCATGCATAGTTTGGCTGAAGTTTTGATTCAGGGCTAGAAGTTTACAGTCGTCAGAAATCCAAGCTAATTGCATTATTTCTTACTTATCTTTTGAGGTCTTATGAAGTTTTTGTTTTCTATTTTTGCTGGTTCTATGTTTAGAATTTTTTTAGTGGTCCATGCCACTGTAGCTTCCATAAGAGTATGGGGTGTTCCACTATCATAGTCGGACTTGCACTATAATTGGAATGCATGATGCATTCTATTGTACTGCAAGAAATTAAATATTTTATTTTACAATCTAAAACATTATTTGGTACAACCTTAGGTCTAAGCACAAGGCAAGTCCTTGCCTATGTACCTTACTATGATGCACCGACACTTCTCCTCAAAGATGCGTGCAGTGTCTGAAACGTATTCGACATGACACACATCTGACACTCCTCCAACACGTGCCGGACACGCCGAAAACGTGTCCGATTAAAAAAATATTAAATATAAATTGGACATGCATGTCCGACACGTATCTTAAATTTTTTATGAATTTTTTTAAATATAAATTTTTGTATTTAAAATTTTTACTCATTTAAAATATAAAAACTTAATTTCTTATCATATCCACAACATCAAATCAATCGCCCGCACTTAATATCTCATTCATCAAATATTTTCATTTTCATTTCTCTTTGGCGGGTTACAACTTTGATTTCACTACAATGTTCGATGTCATCTCAATATTGACGTCTGACGTCATTACAACATTAACATTTCAAAACGATCTTCATATCAAAGCCTGACGCTGTCTTAACATTGATGCTCGATGCTAGCAATTTCTACACCTACAACTTGACATCTCTTCTCTGTCCAACGCCTTCTCAACATCGACGACCAACACTCTCTTAACATCGACGACCAACACCCTCTCAACATCGACGATAAATGCTCTCTTAACATTGACGCCCAATATTTACTGCATAAAATCAATGTCCGACTCTCGACAGCATTGTCATTTCCTCTCTCGATGACTGATAAACGACATCGACGCTCGACTCTCGACATACTGATATTAAATCATTTCAAGCACAAATTCTAGTTAAACTTCTTATTATTCTAAATCATTTTTAAAATTATATTTATTCAATTTTTATACACTATTTTTAAAATATAAAAACTATAATACCATGTCGAACCCGTGTTCGTGTCCTATATTTTCAATAATTGATATGTCCTGTGTCCGTTCCATGTTGTATCCGTGTCGCCGTAGCCTATAATGGGTTCATCGCACTTTATAGTAAAAATATCAATTGGTCTATGGGAATTCCCATCCCTATCGTGGAATTTAAAGGAAGATTATTTGTCATAAATTATGTTAGATGTCATTGGTGTTACCCAGAAATATAGGTACCCTTGGAAATCACTGATTTTGAAAAATAGCTTTGAGGGTCTTTAGTTTGGGATTTGTTGATCTTTAGATATTGTATGCAAAGTTTATCCTATTATAAGTAGGATTTTTTTTTATTGGACTATTACCTAAGTATTAATGAATAAATTCTATTCATTGGATGTTAAGTTGTTTGCCTTATTACAAATATGAAGCTTGATGGGGAATCCGTGGAATCATATTGTTATGACACAGGTGCAGAAATTTAAATTGCAGCAACCACAAATCAAATTTGTAGGAGAAAACCTTGATGGAAACCACAAGAAAAGTTTTGAAATTGCTGAAATAATCAAGAAAGAGGACAAGATATAGTGGATCTTCAATTCGAGAGGAAGATTCTTCCCTCCAACTCTCTAATCGAAGACTAGAGCCCAAACAAACTTAGGAGAATCACAAATTCTGCATAAAAAATCACATAACCTAATCCTAGAGAGAAAAGAACTACATAAAGAAAAAAATACCCATACAATTCCCTAAACAACCCTTAATTTTGAATTTTTCCTCCTAAAGCTTTTATTAATTAAATCCCAAATCCCCTCTTAACCATGTTGGGCCCCATTGGGTCATCCGCCCCTTTGCTAGGCGACAGATTTATTCCGCCTAGAATAAATCTGAACCGGTCTAGGTTGGACCTGTTCAACTGACTCATGAGTCGGTCTAACAATACCCCCCTCCCAAAGACTCACATTATCCTCAAGGTGAAATGATGGGAATTGGGTCTTCACCCTCTCATAGGCTCCCAAGTGATGTCATAGTCTGGTAGGCTCTTATATTTACCCCTTAAAGCTCCAAAGGCTCCAACACCACTTCCAAATTCTTAGTCAGTGTCGCCAATAACGCTGCACTAGCTGCATGCTCCCCTAGGGCCCTCATCAATTGTGAAAATGGAATACTGGATGTATGCTAGTATTCGGGGGCAACCTCAGGCGATAAGCCACTGCTCCAATCTTTTCCAATATCTCATACGGGCCAAACTACCCCGGGGCCAGTTTCTCGTTTCTCCTGTTGGCTATCGGCCCATCGTCCTTTATTTGTGAGGATGTAATTTTAAAAATACCTTATTCCCAATTTGGAACTGGATGTCCTTCTTGTGTCCATATGTTTGCTTATTCATAATATGTTATGCTCTCATCAAGTGCCTCTTTAACTCCTCTAGCATCATATCTCTTTCCTCTAAGTATTGTTTTATTGAAGAGACTGGTGTGCTCCCCTACCAAAAATGCACCATGTGTAAGGGATCTCTATCATACAAGAATTTGAATGGGTCAGCTGAGAAACTGAGTGGTAAGACGTGTTGTACCAATACTTTTCCCACGCTTGCCATTCGAGGTGTTTCTGAAGCAAAACACTACAAGTCTCCAAACTTCTGTTGACTATCTCCGTTTATCCATCTGTCTGAGGGTGGTAGGTGGTAGGTGGTCCTCCTTTTGAGAATGATACCCTACGGCCTGAACAGCTCTCTCCAAAATTGACTGAGAAACACCTTATCTCAATCAGATACTATCGACTATAGGATTCCATGCAATCTAACCACCTCCCTGGTGAATGTGGCTGCTACTATAACGGATATATAGGGATGTTATAAGGGAATAAAATGAGCATATTTATTGAACCTGTCAACCACCATTATAATCACTGTGAACCCCTCAGATCGTGGTTGCCCATTTATAAAATCCATAGTTACCTCTTCCCATACTCTGTCTGGAAGAGCTAAGGGTTGAAGTAATCCCTCTAAAAGCATAGCCATGTACTTATTTCTCTGACATACCTCACACCTAACTACCAGCTCCTCCACATCCTTATGCATCATTTCCAATACAATTCTACTGTCAACCTTCTGTAGGTCTTCTGCACCCCCGAATGACCTCCAACTGCGCTCCCATGAAATTCCAGCAAATAGGGAATATGAACCAAGGTTTGTAGCATCACAAACCTCCCTTAGTACAAAAGTCTTTCTCCGTCGAGGGAGTAGTCTGGGTGACTGCTCTAATTTTTTAGTAAATCCTTCATACTCTTCCTCAGCTCCTCATCCTATATATTTTCTTCTTTGATAGCCCCCAACCTATCATCAGTGGTACTAAAATTACCTTCTCTTGGAGCTCCCCCACACATCTTGATAAAGCATCAACCACCTTATTCTCTAATCTTGGTCTATACTGGATCTCAAAATCATAGCCTAACAGTTTGGACAATCACCTTTAATGCTCCTCAGTCACCATCATTTTCTCTAGCAAGTATTTCAAGCTCCTATGGTTTGTCCTGACAATGAAATGCCGACCCAACAAGTATGAACGTCACTTTTGAATAGCTAACATAATGGCCATCAATTCCCTCTCATATATTGACTTCAACCTAGCTTTGGTTGTCAACAATTGGCTGAAGTAGACAATGGATCTATGATTCTGGATGAGCATGACCCCCAACCCATATCTTGATACATATGTCTCCACCACAAAGATCTGATTGAAATCTGGTAGAGCCAAAACTAGTATTGTGGCCATGCATGGTTTTTTCAGGCGCTCAAAGGTTTGGGTAGCCATCTCTCCCCACAAGAAGTTATCCTTCTTCAGTTGCTATGCCAAGGGCCAGGCTATGGTGATGTATCCCCTCACGAATCTCCTATAATAACTAGTCAACCCTAGGAAATTCCTCAATTCTCTCAAATTCCTAGGTAGAGGCCACTTTTGTATCATCTCAATTTTGGTTTGATCAGCAGCCACTCCCTCCTGGGATACCACGTGCCTCAAGTACTCCATACTAGCCTGTCCAAAGCTGCACTCTTTAGGTTGGCCCTCAGCTGATGCTCTTGTAGAACTCCTAAAATCACCCTCAAATGCTCCTCCTTGGACCTACTATACACTAGTATGTTGTCAAAGAAAACTAATACAAACTTTCGAAGGTATGGTCAGAATACTCTATTCATAAAGGACTAGAAATTAGTGAGACCAAACAACATCACTAAGAATTCGTAGAGCCTCTTGTATGTCCTGAATGTAGTCTTCTGGACATCCTCCTCTCTCATCCTGATCTGGTGATAACTGATCGACTGCATATCCATCTTAATAAACACTACTGCTCCATGCAGCTCATCCAGTAGCTCATCGATCACTAGAATGGGGAACTTGTCTGACATAGTTTCTTTATTCAAGGCACGTTAGTACACACAAAACCTCCAGCTCCCATACTTTTTCTTGACCAGTAAGACCGGGCTAGATAAAGGACTCACACTTAACCTGATAATTCCCGCCTCCAACATTTCACTGATCAGTTTCTCTATCTTGTCCTTCTAAATTTAGGGGTAGCGGTACAAGTAAACCCTGATCGGAGATACCCTCTCCCTCAAGGTGATGGCGTGCTCCAGCTCCCTCAGTGGTGGTAGGCATTGGGGTGGTTGAAAACTCCGCCCCTTGAACTGCTGAATGAGTGGTTGTACTGAAAAAGGGATGTCTCCCCCTTCCTCCAGTGAAATACCTTTTAAACTCTTCAGTTCCACCAAAATTCATTCCCCCGCCTCCTTTATGGTCCTGACCATAGTCTTGAGAGATACCATGGCCCTGAAGAATCATGCATCTCCTTGTACCACCATCCTTTTTCCCTCCACCATCAGCTCCATTATCAGTGCTCCCTAGTTGACCTTGGTATCTCCCAAGGTCTGTGGCTACTTCATCTGCAAGATGACATCAATGCTTCCAAAATCTAATAGAAGAAAATCCTCCCTTACTTGGACCCCCTGGTGAGTCAGCATGACTACCCTACAAACTCCTCTACCCATCTCCGTTTTCCAATGTTCATCAACACCCCCATATCCCCTAGTGTCTACCAATTTCACCCCCAACTGGTCTACAACCTGATTGGAGATAAAGTTGTGGGTAGCCCACTGTCGATCAACACTACCACCTCCATATCTGCTATATCTTCTTTAACTTTCATGGTGTAATTTGGGGTGAACCTTACCACTGAGTTCAATGAGACTTCCGTCATGTCCAGATGTAGCCTCTCCTCTTCCTCTACCATTTCCCCACTCTCACCTCCCTTAATTTCCTCATCATCACGGTAGGTGAGAACCTGACAAGTTCAGTCCTTACAAATGTGCCCCGGCGTATACTTTTCATCACATCTGAAACACAACCCTTTTGGCCACTTCTCTTGCAACTCAGTGAGTTTCTTGAAGTTTCCCCCAAATCCCTCTCCAGTCTTCTCCTTTGGGGCCTCATGTAGGCTTCATGGTGCGGGTCTCTTGCGAGCTAGGAAGATGGTGGTCATCATATATGACCCCCATGAACTGTTGCCTCTAGCCCCCCTCTCCAGATGATTTTGGTCCTCAATCAACTGCACTAGCTCCATGGCTTCCCCCAAGTCATGCGGCTTCATCACTTTAACAGCCGCTCGGATATCTGGCTTGAGCCCCTTCAAGAAGTTCCCCTCCAACACAGTCTTAGAAAGCTGATTCAACCTGCTAGCTAGGTACTCAAATATGTCACTGTACTCTACCACAGTCGCCTCCTGCATTAGGGCGAAGAACTACTCATAGAAATTCCCTCTTCTACTGGTTTAAAAACATTCTAGTAAACAGTCATTGATTCCCTCCAACTCTGAATGGGTCGGCTAATGTCACTCCACTGATACTATGCCAATACTTTCTCTTCCAAACACAGACAAACCGCCGTCAAATTTTCCTCCTTCGTCAACCCATTGACAGCGAATTACCTCTCTACCTTGTAGATCCACGCATGTGCGTCCTCACCCTCTAAGATGGGAATTTTTAGCTTACTTACCCTTGGATCGCCTCTGTTTCCCCTGAATCCTCCGTAGTCTCCCATTCACCAAAAAGTAGGTGCTCCTCAAGTGTCACGATCTTCCCTTCTGCGCTCAAATCTAAATTTTCTTCAAAATCCCCCCTCCTTTCAAAATCAACACCTCGGCTTTCATAATCCTCCTCTCTTCTTGCAAAATCAACACCTCTTCGCTCGTACACAATACTCATCTCCTCCCTAGAAATTGGCTCTAGCAGAGGCATCCCGTCTCCCCCCTCGAAAATCGCCACCTCTTGATTCTCCCCTCCCCTAAAAGGATTAGTGTTTTCACGTCTCCCTTGGCCATTGATGGCTTCCTTCACATCAGATGTCGCCGTATTGGATTTAGCTTCAAGTAGCTTCTTCAGCATCTCTTCGACTACGATGAACTTTCCATCAATCTTTTTATGGACGGATGAAAATTGGTTTTGAAAACCTAAAATTGTTTCCTCAAAATTAGATTTTAGTTGATATAATCCTCCCTCTAATCCAATTTCCTTCCGGCCATTGATACCCTTAGATCGACGTGCTTTGATGCCAATTTGTTATTGACACAGGTGCATAAATTTAAATTCCAGCAAGCACAAATCAGATTTGTTGGAGAAAACCTTGATGGAAACCACAAAAAAAGATTTGAAATTGTTGAAATAATAAAGAAAGAGGACAAGATAAGCAAACCTAGGAGAAACACAAATTCTGCATAAAAAATCACATTACCTAACCCTAGAGAGAAAAGAACTACTTCAAGTAAAAAAAATCAATAAATTCCCTAAATAACCCTTGATTTTGAATATTTCCTCCCAAAACTTTCATTAATTAAATCCCAAATCCACTCTTAACCTTGTTGGGCCCCATTGGGCCGTCCGCCCCTTTGCTCCCGCTTGGAATAAACTTGAAACAGTCCAAGTTGGACCGCTTCAACAGGCTCATGAGCCGGTCTAACACATATCTCATGAATTCAGTTGCCGTAAGTTTTTTTCTTCTTTCTTCTTTTTTCAATCTATATTCTGATCTATTTACTTTTGCCTAAATTTCTTAATTATCACTTGCAATTATGTGATTGGTTTTATTCAAATCCTTGTGAACTTATATTTCACTCATTGCATGAATGCCTGTTATGCTTTTTTGACATCCTTGATGTGAAATCTCTATTGTGAGGAATCCATCACCTACTTTACACAACCTTGATGTTCTATTTATTACTATGCATCAGTAATACAAAATAATTGTTTGGGTTAATTGTTTTTCTTCTTGATAATTTTTGCATTCCAAACCATGAATGTGCTACAGCATCATTAAAAAGTATATCTTTTGCATAACATCACTTTTCTTATTTATTTTTTATTTTTTTAAATATCATTAGCATCTTAACCCTTAGACATTAATGCATCCCATATCAACTATACAAGTAGGATGTACTACAAGCTCTACCACCAAACCCAAATAAATAGAGCAAGCCTTGATTCTCATGATAGCTGGAAAGGACTTTATGCTTACGAATGTCTGGAGATTTTTCTACCTTAGGAAGAATCCATTTCATTTTGCACATTGAATTTAAAACTAAAATTAACGCTTCTGATAACTTGGTCTGATCTTGTACTCTGCTTCCGCATATTATGTGGAAATTGCCACTATTTTTATGACGATTTCTGTTTTTCTATCCGCCTGATTCGGATGCTCTCTCATTTTTATTCTGATCCCCTTATAAGAGCAGATGGTCTTTTTCCTATATATGCTTGATTATCAGAGACTTCTTACCTATTTCATTGTTTCAGTTCTATTATTTTTTGACTTCTTTAAATTTTTTTTAGATTCAAGCTGCATTTAGAACAGATGAAATCCGAAGAACTCCTCCCACACCACAAGATGAGATGCGGGCAGGGATGAGTTATTTCCACGAGACGATATGGAAAGGTGTTCCTAAGTTCCTGCGGCGGGTTGATACAGCTTTGAAAAACATTGGGATAGATGAGCGTGTTCCTTACAATGCACCACTCATTCAGTTTTCTTCTTGGATGGGTGGTGATCGTGATGGTAGGATGACAATTGATTTGATGGTTTCTCACATCTATTGAATTAATTTTTAGGCAGCATTTGTTCTGTTTTGCAATTGATACAGGCAATCCTAGAGTGACGCCAGAGGTGACAAGGGATGTGTGCTTGTTATCTAGATTGATGGCTGCAAACTTATACTTCTCCCAAATTGAGGATCTAATGTTCGAGGTATCAAAACTTTCAAATGCTTATTTTTGCTAATTGATCTTTTTTTTTAGATTTCTACTGCCATGGTTATTTAAAGATATTTTTCATCTGGCTTTGCTTCATTCCTGTATTTTACTTTGATTGCAGTTGTCTATGTGGCGATGTAGTGATGAACTTCAACTACATGCTGATGAGCTGCACCGCTCCTCAAAGAAAGATGCAAAACACTATATAGGTATATGTGATACTTTAAGCCGTGACATTAAGAGTATTTATTTTTCTTTTTGCTGGTATTATGGTCTCATTTTCTGCAAACTCTTCCATGTAGTACAAATCCTCAGTTTTCTATTGGATTTTTTTTTTTTTTTTCATTATGTCGGACGTCTTAGGATCTAGGATTTTTAATACAAATCTAATATGATTAAAAAAAAATCTTAAAACATACATGCAAGCTTTGTATGCCATAAAGTATTAATCACAAACAATTATTCACTACTTTGGATGAAAATTGAAAACTCAATGGTGATTAATTCAAATGAAAATTCATTCTTCCTATACTTGAAGTTGAAGGTGATGATTAAAAGCTCCTATTGAAGAAAGCCACACAAATGATTTGAATTGACACACTGGTTGGAATCTAGATTTTATCAAATTTGACCAAACACAATCACCCTTTCTAACCAATAATTTAGGATAAATGTTTATCATAAAGATATACAAATGATGACTTCTCATTAGAGTCAACCACTCGAAGCAACCTTATCGAAGGCCATGAAATTTTGATATCATTAAGCAATCATTTCAAAACTTGGAATCTAAATAATAGGTCTTTTTCTTTATGATTTTTAATTGTTTTGAATCACAATCAATGTAATTGACACACTGGTTGGAATCTAAATTTTTATTTTACGCAATTTTTTTTTCTTCTTCGAAACTACTTGGGGCTTATACTTCACCTCACAAATGTAAAACTTCTCAATAGTCAATACCCAATTGTGTAATTTTAAACCTTGAAATTAAATTATTACTTTTAAAGTTTTTCTTGCAAACTCCACGATATGTGGCATATTACTTTTTTTTTTTTTTTTTTGTAAATAAGATTCAAGCTGTGTAGCCAAGGTGATCAGTAAATATTGTCTTATTTCTCACGTAATAACTGTCTTGCCTTTTTATAATTCTTAGTATTATCAGTTACTAATTGTACAATATAATTTGAGCCCACCCATTCAATAACTTAAACAATAAAGAACGCAAAATAGTTGCATCCTTCGTGAGATCAAAAGCATCCAAACTCCACTCAGAGAATAAATAAGAAAATTGATTAAGGTTATATTTCTACTAACTCTTCATTCATCAGCCATTGAGGTACACCCAATTTTTTTCTAAGTATGTTTGTATGAATCAATAAGTACTCTTTATTATTCATTGCAATTTCTTAATGAGTTCACTCTCATTTTGTAATATGAAGGGATTTTGTAACTTGGACCAATAGCAACAATTGCATTGACAACTTTTTGTGCAAATGACGAATTCAATGCATTGAAAGTTATGCCATAATTGAAAAACCATCTTTGAAGAGCTAAATCTGCACGATATATAGCATTTTTAGATGTCAATACACTTTTTAAGGAAGGTTGTAAGTCTAGGTTTGTTTTAGTTGCAAAATAGTTTTCTATATCATAAATCTTTCTCATCCCTTCATCAATTTCTAATGCTGTGCATTTGAATTTAGTGATTTGGAAAGAGAAGAAGGGGTTTCTTCTTTAATGTTTTGATCTTTTTTAATGTATTATATTATAAATTAATTAATTTTATATTTTAAAATTTTTAGGTCAAAAATTCAACTATTGGATCTTAAATCAATGGTTTTTAAATGCCTGTAGTTTGAATTGGCCGGTTTTATAAAATTGGATCCAATTCGACAATTTAATGGTTGAGCCGGCTATTCAAACTGGTTGAATTTGATTCAATGCAATTTCGATTTTCAAATCGAACCACACCAGTTCTCGATTGAATCAGTTAGTCCAGTCCAATTCTTAAAACATTACAAAATACTAGAAAATTTCAGTTTTCAAACCGAAACATACCAGTTCTTGATTGAACCAGTTAGTCGGGTCTTATTCTTAAAACATTACAAAATACTAGTAATTTTTAGTGATAATAATGATTTTTTTCTAATAGTGATTACCTATTAATTACATGATTTTTTTCCATAGTAGACCGTCTAATTTTATTTTGATTTATTATACAGACACTATTTGTATATGATTTTATGGAATTTAGCATAGTTTTATCATAAAAAGTGAAATTTTTCTGATGAAAAGTTTCCCGCGATGGGAGAATCAAATTGGTTCATATTTGGTGAGCCGAGGGATTAATTTAAATACTTAAAAAAAGTATGGAATTAAAGTGGACGCACCTAATGGTTCAAGTGCTAATTTAGTCATTTACTCCCGCATATTCGTATCTCCCTACTCTCCTTGCCTAAGTTTTTAATGGCTTTTAACGGGTCTACCTAATAATCAGGTGTCTTATCTCTATCTTTTTCATGTTTACTTTTGCAAAAGTGATGCTTGCTTATTTTTATCCCATTATAATGTTTCCGCACAAGGAGGATGTAACTGAAATTGGAAATATCTGCTGATTATAAATCTAGAAATGTTGCATTGAAGTACAATTGAAATTTAATATAAATCAAATCTTTATTAAAAACTTTTGATGTGCCAATAAAGATGGTTTAGGGTATATTTTAGTATCACGTTCACTAGTTTTAATGTTTGAATTATTTAAGTATGATATATATCCACTGATATGTACTCCTTCACTTTTATTTAGAGTTCTGGAAGAGGGTTCCTCCAAATGAGCCATATCGTGTTATACTTGGTGATGTGAGAGATAAGCTATACAATACGCGAGAGAGAACACGCCAAGTACTGTCAAATGGAATTTCTGATATTCCCGAGGAAGCAACTTTTACCAATGTTGAGCAGGTTCATCCTCATTTTTCATTAATGACATTATTTATGGATGTTATTTGGTGCAAAAATGATTCTGATTTAAGGTATCTGCATGTTGTTTCTTGTAGAGAACCACTTAAATGCCATGTAGATTGAATTTTGTCTTTTTGATTTTCGTCATTTTTGAATTTTTTTGAACCTAGAATTATACATCCACCAAAATGTAGTGTTATTATATAATAATCTGGTCTTTTGTCACAGTTTTTGGAGCCATTGGAGCTATGTTACAGATCACTTTGTGCCTGTGGCGATAGGCCGATTGCTGATGGAAGCCTTCTAGACTTTCTCCGCCAAGTATCTACCTTTGGCTTGTCTCTTGTGAGACTTGACATCCGACAAGAATCTGATAGGCACACTGATGTTATTGATGCCATTACTAGGCATCTTGAAATTGGATCTTATCGTGAATGGCCTGAGGAAAAGCGTCAGGAGTGGCTATTATCTGAGCTTAGCGGAAAACGCCCTTTATTTGGTTCTGATCTGCCCAAAACTGAAGAAATTGCTGATGTTTTAGATACATTCCAGGTGCTTGCTGAACTTCCTTCAGATAGCTTTGGAGCTTATATCATATCAATGGCAACTGCTGCATCTGATGTTCTGGCTGTGGAGCTTTTGCAAAGAGCCTGCCATGTGACGACACCCCTCAGAGTAGTGCCACTATTTGAGAGACTTGCAGATCTTGAGGCAGCTCCTGCAGCTCTAGCTCGGCTTTTTTCTATAGATTGGTATAGGAATCGCATCAATGGAAAGCAGGAAGTTATGATTGGATATTCAGATTCTGGCAAGGATGCTGGGCGTCTCTCCGCAGCTTGGCAACTATATAAAACTCAAGAGGAGCTCGTAAAAGTAGCCAAGGAATTTGGCGTGAAGTTAACAATGTTCCATGGCCGAGGTGGAACTGTTGGGAGAGGAGGCGGTCCTACTCACCTTGCTATATTGTCTCAGCCACCAGATACCATTCATGGATCACTTCGTGTTACAGTGCAAGGTGAGGTTATTGAGCAATCGTTCGGAGAAGAGCATTTGTGCTTCAGAACACTGCAACGTTATACTGCTGCTACTCTTGAACATGGAATGCAGCTCCCAATATCTCCCAAGCCAGAATGGCGTGCATTGATGGATGAAATGGCTGTTGTGGCCACAAATGAATATAGATCTATCGTCTTCCAAGAACCGCGTTTTGTTGAATATTTCCGCCTGGTAAGTAATTCTATTTTTTGATGGTCTTGCTTAGGCAAATTATTAGGTGCGGACACCGGACAGAGAGAATCATCCAGATTTCTCTCTGTTTACAGTAAAAGCGTAGTCAAAGTGTGGCTGTTACAGTGCTTTGACTGTGCTTTTACTATAGACAGAGAGAAATCCGGATGTACCTCTCTGTCAAATGTCCGAACCTAATAATTTCTCCTTGCTTGGATGCTCAGAATTGTGGTGAAAGGAAATGAAAAAAAGATTTCAATTTTCAAATCAATGAATCAACCCACGACTGTTTGTATTTCATTTCGTTCGTTTCCCATCAAATCAACAACACCTGTATCTTAATGATCAGGTCATTATGGAAATTTCTCTACTGTTTGTTTGGCAGGCAACACCAGAACTCGAGTATGGTAGAATGAATATTGGCAGCCGGCCATCAAAGAGGAAACCCAGTGGAGGAATAGAGTCACTGCGTGCAATCCCATGGATCTTTGCATGGACTCAAACAAGATTTCATCTTCCTGTATGGCTTGGATTTGGTGCGGCATTTAAACACGTCATCGAAAAGGACAAAAAGAATCTTAATATTCTACGAGAGATGTACAATGAGTGGCCATTTTTCAGGGTTACAATCGATTTGATTGAGATGGTTTTCACTAAAGGCAGCTCAGGCATCGCTGCTTTGTATGATAAATTGTTGGTTTCCACTGATCTACTGCCATTTGGAGAGCAGCTGAGAGCCAACTATGAAGAAACAAAGCGCCTTCTTCTGCAGGTGAGCTTCCCTATTCTGTTTTATTTGAACTAATTAAGATCTGTTTGCTGGTGCTTGCAATAAACTTCTGCTGCCTTTATATATTGGGATGCCTTTGTTAAGGCTACTAAGATCTTTTATTTACTATCTTTATCATTTTAATGATTATATTGCTAGCAGTACTATGCCTAGAGTTGGTTATGTTGCTTTGAAGATAATATCTGTGGTGCTGCTAGCTGTCCATAAATTGAACTTGTAGGACGAAGGATAGAAGATGTAAATAAGATAGAAAAATTAAATTACTGTGAAAGATTAGAACAACCATTTAGAATCAAAATAGCATGGATAGAACTCGTGCAAAAAAATTATCAAAATAAAATTTGACGCCTCAAGAAGCATTCAAGAAGATCATCTTCAACCGAACTCCATACCACCGTATGTCATCTGTCATTTGTTCCATTTGAACTCCAAATCGCACGTCAAATTCCGGTTGGCGAACAATGCGACACCAATATTGACATCAGGCTGTTCACATATGCTAAAAAAATTCTCTGCAGGATTTGCTATAGAAGCATGCGAAAGAAAGAAAAAACACTTCAAAGATGGTTACGTTCGCTGGAAGCGCTCGAAAGAAGAAGAAATGGCGTCCGATTGGAAAAGAATGACTGCATTACAGACTGGAAAATGGATTTTTCGGTTGGAGATGCCCTAAGAAATGTAGAATGATTCATAAAACCAATCTCAAATATATAGTTGATTCTATCAAAGTGGAAATAACTTCTGAATATATTTGCCAGAGAATTATATACGCTTTGCTTGCTTTCTTACATATACAAATCATTTTGATTATATCAAAATAACAATAAACTAAGAAATCTTCCATAGGTGGCTGGTCACAAAGATCTTTTGGAAGGTGATCCCTACCTGAAACAAAGACTCAGACTCCGTTATCCTTACATAACAACTCTGAATGTTTGGCAAGCTTACACACTGAAGCGGATTAGAGATCCAAGTTATCATCTAACTGCAAAACCTAATCTATCGAACGAGAGAACGAATTCTATCAAACCTGCTGCTGAACTGGTAAAGCTTAATCCCACAAGTGAATATGCTCCTGGGCTGGAAGACACCCTGATTTTGACTATGAAGGGCATTGCTGCTGGTTTGCAGAACACCGGCTAAACTTCGGCTTCGTTTGGGACGGTTTTTTATTGTTTTTAAAGCAGCTTTCTATTATAAAAATTAAAATATTTGTACTAAAAAGCTGCTTTAAGAAACAGCAAAAGAGCCGTCCCAAGCAAAATCTTCATCATCAAGTCTTAAGTTTAATTTCAGAAATATGTATATTATAATACATATGGGTTACTTATATGTTTGCCAACTCTATTATGTTATCTTTGTATGTAGTACCTATGAGTGGTATCAATTTGAGTCAAAAACCATGGAGATGCTTTTCCAGCTTCCTGTATTTGCTGAGATGAAGAGATTCACCGTCTCTTGTACCGTTGTGTGTATGTATCTTTAATAGTAAAATAAAGCTTGGGAGACACTGCATACAAGGTGGTATGCCATGAATTCCCATTTGAAGCCATCTTATTTTGTGAATATTAGGCTGAGTTTAGTATAGCATATTGTCTGTTTAAATTATTTGGTTTAGAAAGCTGTTTTAGAAAGCAGTAAGAAAGTTATCCCAAACGAGGTCTAAGGTTACGTTTGGAACTGTATTGTTACCGCTTTCTAAAATAATTTTTTAGTACAAAAGTTTCTTATTTAAGAAATTTCTGTATTAAAAAGTTGATTTATAAAGCGGTAAGAAAGCTGTCCCAAACAAAGTCTAAGATTTCATTTGGGATAACTTTCTTACTGCTATCTAAAATAATTTTTAGTACAAAAATTTTTAATTCAATAAATTTTTGTAATAAAAAGTTGCTTTGCTTCAGAAAGAAGAAAGAAAGCAATCTCAAATAAAACCTAAGGTTTCATTTGGGCCAACTTTCTTGCTACTTTTTGAAATAGTTTCTAGGTCAAATTTTTTTAATTTAAAAAATTTTATATCAAAAAGATTCTTAAGAAAGTAATAAGAAAATTGTTTAGGATTCGTTTGGTTTGATCCTTTAATTATTTTCTACAGTAATTTTTTAGCACAAAACTTCTATGAAAGTTCTAAAAAAATAATAGCAAAAAATTATTCCGAACGAAGCTTAAGAACTGATTTGTTCACTATAAATGCTATCAGATATATTGGATTGTAAGTATATTGCAATATATTTCAGAAAACTTAACAACAAGAAATTAAGTTATGAAGTGATCAAATGTTTAATTAATTAATCTTCTTTGAATCAAGTAGAGAAAAATAATTCACATGCAAGTGGTGCAACTTTTTTGCAACTAATCCTCAGCCTAACTAAGCAAGCCTTAGGCTTTGTTTGGGACAGCTTCATTATTGTTTTCTAAAACAGTTTTGTAGTACAAAAATTTTGATTTAAACAGTTGTTTTAACAAGCAGTAAGAAAGCCGTTCTAAATGAAGCCTTAATGTTTTGAATGTTATTTTGCACTTTGATCGTTTTGATTTAGGCTTTGTTTGTTTTTTTTGTTTTTTTTTTTTGTGCTTTTGTAAAAGACAGTTTTAAAAAACATTAGTTCAGAAAATTGAGTTTTCTAACGGAGAAGCATATATAAAAAGTTTTCTCAAAACTACAGAAAAATGAAAAAAACGGGGTTATTGGGAACGTGATTTTGACTAACCAAACAAAAAAAAATCCTCCGTTTCCAAACGGGAAGGCAAAAAAACGCTTAAAAAAACAAAGCCTTAATAGCTTGCTTTCTAAGTGAATGTAACTCATGCATATCTTCCATAAATTATGAAAGATTTTGTCCATTGATAATATGCCCTTTATGTGCTTGGGCACATTCAGCTCCCACTTAGGCATTTGTCAGTTATTATTATAAGGAATTTTCTCTTTGGTAGAAACATTAAAATATAATCAATCATATGTAAAGAATAATCTTTAAGGATTTGGATTTTCTCTTTAATGGAAACATCAAAGTTATATTTCAATGTTGACAACTTGAGTGCCAAAACAAAATATAATGATTATAATAACAAAAGAAACTCAAATTAATAATTGCAAATTCAGAACCAATAAATAAATTATTGAGATTTTTATTTATTTTCTTCAGTTTATTTATTAAATAATATGTATTCTGAATGAAAATGAATATATATTCATCCAAATTTCACTTAAAATATAAAAACTAATAATGAACAATAAATAAAATTATAATGGTAAAATCCCTTTGTAAATTGCAATATAGGAAATTTATCTGCCCTTCCAAAGTTGTTTGGTTTGTTGAAAAAAGAATGCAAATAATTTTAAAATTTGTGTTCGTTTGATGAAAATGGCATATAGTGAAAATTTTTAGGGATTGTTTGTTGGTTTAAAAAGAATTCAATTTAAAATGAATGTAGTGTAATATGAATGCATTATATTTGAAATATTTTAGAGTTATTTGGATGCATATGAAATAAATGCAAGTGAATACTTTTTATATTGCTTAATCAAATGAATAGTATAAAGTTCAAAAATAGTGGTAATTAGCAGCAGACCATAGTAGTGCTGGTTGACGACAGGGTGGGTGGTGACCGATTACAGCATCTAACAGTGGCAGTTGGCAGATCATTGGCAATTGTAGCATGTGGTGGCGGCGGCGACGATGGCTAGTGGCTGTAGTGGCAAAGGAGACAATGTCGTTTGACGACAATGATGATGAATTTATGGTGTACTTTCAAATCGCCCAAATCGAATAAGTTCCAAATAAACAAAACAGCCTTAGTGAATTTCCACTCCCTATTAATTTTTAATGTATTGTAAACTCATCCAATGTTATTTGAATTTTTTTTCCAGTGTGAGCTAGCTACGTTGTCACGACCCACTGAAACCACCCAGTGTTGTGGTAGCTTTCAGCCTATTACCGTTGCCGATAGAATCGTCACGTGTTTTATATAAAGCTAAACATTTAACTTTACATTACACTCATTTTATTTAAAACTAACAAAAAGAATCTATTATATATTTCTCTATACTCATTCAAATAATTTCAAAGATTTTAAATATACTTATATTCCCCTGTAATTTTTTTTTTAAGCAAATCAAACAGTCGTGCACTTTCCTGTAAAGTGAAAAGGGTTATGCCACTTTGAATTTTTTCTTTTCTTTGTGGAAAAGTGTTGGTTTGTGAGTGGTGCTAAGGGATTTTTTTTTTTTTTTTAATAAAGATTCTTCTACTACAATTTTTTTTTCTTTTCTTTTCTTTAATCGTGTCATTTCATACTTATTGCATGTGCTAAAATTAATTAGTGCTTCATCTAGTCACTCTTATATGATGGAGAAATCATTAGTATTTTCATTTCATTTAATTTCTTTCTATTTTCTCCAATTCAAGCATAGCAAAATTTAAGTCCACAGAATTAGGGGAAATTTTGATAAAATCAAATTTAAAGAATACACAATTCGCAATATTTTTTTTTTTTTTTCAAAATTATACATATCACAATGACTATAATATTGGAAAATCATTTTTATATTATGTCACATAAATTTACATTTATTATATACTAGAATATTTCTTGAGATGAAGAGAGATATTAACACTTTCATTTCGGACGAAGATCCATCCACCTCATAGATAAATGAAGTTATATGAGAAAATAAATTTTTTATGCGAAAATTTTAAAAAGGGCAAAAAAGTAAGGGATTTGGCTCTACTAGTGTTTGTTGTATGTTATAAATGGTGTTATTTCTAGTGATTGAACAATGTGTTTATAGGCATATTATATAGTGCAGATTTTGTTGCAAAGATTGGAGCCTTGTAGTATGGGAGTTATCTTCTAAAGATCATTTGTTGTTAGTTTTATTGTATTCCTTTGAGGTCCAAAGGCGAGGAAGTCAAGAATAAACCCTACTGTTGATGTCATAAGTCAGAGTTGATATCTATGGCACACATTGGTCTTATGGATGATGGCGTGTGCTAAAATTATTGGCGACAACAAGTGGCGAAGTCGGTGAGCGTGGGTGCATCCGAATGGCAATACTCATAGGGCTTTACTTAAGTGATGATAATCGAAGAACTGTAGTCGAGGAATAGTCTCAAAAGAATTTAATTAAGGGACAGTGGTTAAAGGATCGTAGTCATGTGATAATAGTTAGATAACCTTTGTCGGATCGAAGAAGTATAATTGAGTGACGATGGTTGAAAGAGCTTAGTTAAGAAATTGTGGTTGACAATGGTCAGAGGGGCATAGTCAGACAATGGTGGTGGGAATACCATAGTCGATTTTTTTACTAAAGCAAGCCAATATTCAATTTTGAACCTCTAAGCAATCCATTAACCTGAATCAGCTCATTAATAACCCTAGATGGAAGTCTTTAGAGCATGACCTATATATAATCTCAATTATAACACAAACTCTTAATCATCCAAATACCAATCCACAATTTCAAAATTTCACTTCACTTTGCTTGGGAGCACGGGCGGATGTAGTGTGGGGGCACTGGGGCACGTGCCCCCACAACCCTTTTAAGTCAGCAGCCGCATGAGGTAATTTGGTAATATATTATATTATTAATATAATTTATTTATTCATTAATTACAGAATAAACTAAATAAATAATTTACTTTTTTCATCCCTAATGCATTTAATATTCCACTTTTCCCCAAAACTTTCCTGTAGGCAGCTATCCCGTCCCGCAAATTACTCCCTCTCCCTGCTTTGGCCCTGTCTTCATCTCTCATGCAGTCACGCAAATTAGTCCCGAACGTGGCTCTGCCCGACTTCCCCTGTGCCCAGTTGCCAATCACCGGTGGAACGTGGCTCCGCGCCTCCACCCCTGCCGCCCAGTTACCAGTCACCGGCCCGCGGTCACGCACATTCCGCCATAAGAATACTGAATCATTTTACCTAACTATTATCCTAGTCTTCAAGTTATTTTTCTTTACTTTTGAGTTTCAATTGAAAATTGGAATGAAAAAAATTGATTTTTGTGAGAAATTTTCCCGATTTAACTAGGAATCAAAAGCTTCGAATCTCATTTGGGATGAAAGCACAAATCACAAAATCTGTTTGGGATGAAAGCACAAACCATAAAATTTGTTTAAAGCATAAAAGTATTTCTTTTAGATTATAAGTTGAAGACTCATATTTTATGATTTATTGTTTATTGTTTTAAAAAATTTAAAACAGAAAATTATTTCTTTTAGATTACATATTTTAAAAAAAAATATGTAATCTGTTTTTGATGTAATCATGTAATTATGTTTTTGATGTAAGTAGTGCTCAATTAAATGTTTTTAAAATTTTCAAATTAAATAGTAGAATATTCTTAATACTACATGTCTACATCTCTTTAATATTACTTTTGTTTAATTTAGCATGGAGAGATATTTCAAAAAAAAAAGTAGAAGGAGATGATCAGAAAATTTTATGTGAAGAAACCAATAAACAAATCAAATAATGTCGTGTAGAAATAAATTTTGCAAATATCCCCGCCGATCCTGGATTGAGAAAAAAAATATTTGATTATCATCCTAATGAGAGGAATTGTGTTAGGTGACATTACTTGTTGAAAGGATCGTTCTAACCGCATGATCATGATTTTCCACGTACACAATTCGGTGATAAAATTCGTCGATTTAATCCTGCATGGTTTGATGATCACAAAGCATGGTTAGAGTACAGTATAACCAACGATGCAGCGTTCTGTTTGTTTTGTTATATGTATGGACCCGAAATTGGAGAACAGCCTAATGGTGATAGTTTCGATTCAAAGGGTTTTAAAAATTAGAAAAAAAAAAAAAAGGAAAGATTGCATATTCATGTTGGTAATAAGAACAGTTCACATAATATTGCTAGGCGAAAATGTGAAGATTTAATGAATGAAAACAGTGATATAAGATTTGCTTTTGAAAGACCTACATAACAGAATCGCAAAGATATATTATCATACACGATTAAATGCATGTGTTGATTGTATATGTTTCCTTTTACATCAGGGGTTAACATTCCGTGGGCATGATGAATCAAGGGCTTCTGAGAATTAAGAAAATTTTCTTGAACTTCTGTGCTTTCTTGCTAATCACAATGAAGATATAAGTAAAGTTGTTTTGGATAATGCCCCTGGAAATAATAAACTAATTGCTCCTGAAATCTAAAAAGAAATCACAGAAGCTTCTACAATTGATGTCTCAAATATCATAATCAATGAATTAAAAATTTATGTATTCTCAATTTTACTAGATGAAGCTCGGGATATATCAGTCAAAGAACAAGTTTTCGTTGCTTTACGTTATGTTGATTTGCGAGGATGTATCATTGAGCATTTTATTGGGATTGTTCATATAGGAGATACAACAGCTCTAACACTAAAATTGGCCATTGAAGCTTTATTTGCAAAGTATGGTAAAGTGTGTCACAACTACGAGGATAAGGGTATGATGGAGCAAGCAATATGTGGGGTGAGTTTAATGGATTAAAGACTTTAATCATGAAAGAGAACTATCAGCTTATTATGTTCATTGTTTTGCACACCAACTCCAACTAGCATTAGTTGTAGTCGCAAAAAATCATATTCAAGTTGCTTCCTTCTTTAACATTGTGACCAATTTATTAAAAATAATTGGTACTTCATGCAAAAGAAGAGATATATTAAGAGAAAATTATTATGACAAAATTGTTGAACAGTTGGAAAGTGGAGAGCAACAAGTTGAGGTTTAAATCAATAAATTGCACTTTAAAGGCCATGAGACACTCATTGGGGTACCTACTATAATTCACTCATCAGTTTAATTCTTCTATTTGGGTCTATTGTAGATGTTCTTGATATAGTTACACACGGGGTATTTAGTAGTGATAAAAAAGGTGAAGCATATTTCTTACTTAAATCTGTGCAAAGTTTTAAATTTACACATGATGAAGAATATATTGGGAGTTACAAATGAGTTATCACAAGTGCTGCAAAGAAAGGATCAGGACATTATAAATGTCATGACTTTGATAAGAATTTCTAAGCAAATGCTTCAAAATATGAGAAATGATGGGTGAGACACTTTGTTTAAAGAAGTTGAATTATTTTGTGAGAATAATAACATAAACATTCCAAACATGACTAATTCATTTGTGATACGAGGAATATCAAACCGTTGTACTAAAAGTATGACAAATAGATATCATTATCAAATCAAATTATTTTATACTGTTATAAATATGCAACTTCAAGAGCTCAATAATAGATTTAATGAAATTAATACATAATTACTAATGTGTGTCTCATGTTTGAATCCATCTCAGTCATTTTCATCTTTTGATAAAGAATGATGGCTACGCCTAGCAAAATTTTATCCGTTAGATTTTTCAGAAATGAATCTCATCATACTAGATCATCAAATAAAAAATTTTATTGTTGATATGAGATCAAGCGACACATTTATGAATTTAAAAGGACTTGGAGAACTTGCTCAGAAAATAGTGGAGACTCGGAAAAATGATATTTATCATTTGATGTTTTTGCTTATAAAACTTGCTTTGATATTGTCAATTGCTACAGCAACAGTCGAACGAGCATTTTCTGCAATGAATATTATAAATAATCGTTTACGCAATCGTATGGGAGACTCCTGGATGAATGATTGTTTACTTACTTATATTGAAAAAGATATATTCAATAGTATCAACAATGAATTAATTGTATAACGATTTCAAAAAATGAAGGCTCGGCGGGAGAAATTATAGATGATATATAAGTTTTTTGTTTTATTATTTATTCTAACTTTTTATAATGGATCTAACAATTAAAAAAATTTTAAAACCACCAATGTCGGTCCCAAATCCGGATGAAAAAGGTTGAGGGTTTTTAAATTAATTTAAAATTTTGTGCCCCCACATGATTAAAATCCTTGCTCCGCCCGTACTTAGGGGATTCTACAATCTCTCCTATTTAAACCAACATCATCATCATCAATAGCCTTAAATATATCCTATAAATACTTTCAATAAAGATCATTCATCTCATAAAAAACCTATTTTTTTAATCTCATAAAAAACTATTTGTTGCACTAAAAAGGACATTCATATTTCATAGTTCTCTTCCACTTTATTTAATATGTATTTATGATTTCCATCCACATAGTTTCAAAGGAGCTTTCTTTGTACAATGACAACCTCAAAGAAAAAAAATTGTCTTTTAAAATTTAGTGGCTCATATTCATCATACTCTAATGAATTTAAAATTATATAATTATAATTAGCATTCTAATTTGATTATATTCCAACAATATTTAAGTGCTAATTTTATACTAGAGGACTTTTGATGCACTGATTAGATAAATTCCTTAAAATAAATTAATTAATTAAAAAACACACTCTAATTTGATGAATTTGATATTTTGATTCAAATTATTATAATTAAATATATTGATAGAAATATAAACATATATAGCTTACTATTGCTTTGGGTTGCAGCCTTTTTCTCTCTCCACCTTCCCCGTGGGGCCCACCTTAGGTCTCTTATATAGTCCCCTCACGCCCATTTCTCCACTCTACACCTCTCTCTCTCTCTCTCCCTCCCTCTCTCTCTCTTACTCACCCGCAACCATGGCCGACATCGGCGAAGAAGCTCCAGCCTTCAAACTCTTCGGCACAGTGATCGTTGCAGATGAAAACCGCCTCAAGAAAAACTCGCAGCCGCCACCACCACTTTCTTCTTCGGAGGCGGCGGCGGCGGAGCTGCCTTGCCCGCGGTGTCGGAGCCAGGAGACCAAGTTCTGCTACTTCAACAACTACAACGTGAATCAGCCCCGACACTTTTGCAAGGCTTGCCACCGCTATTGGACCGCTGGTGGCGCACTCCGGAACGTTCCAGTAGGCGCCGGCCGCCGCAGAAGCCGTTTTTACGCTCGCACCGGTGGTGAAACGGCGGCGGAAGGCGGTAGGGTGGATTTCACGGCTGAAGTCGAGCGCTGGCTGCTCCGGCGAGAGCAGATGCCGGCGGCGGGTGGGAAGTTGTCAAACGCGGCTAGTGAGTCGTGTTGACCACAGTGGTTGGAAGGTTAAATGGGTAAAAAAAGAGGATTTACATATGTACCACAAATTTTTATGTATTTATATATTTAATCAGTACATTTATATATTTATTTATATAACATTCCGAATTTTTAAATCATGTTAAAAATCTATATTTTCTTATGATATATGAATAATTATAAAAATTCAAATATTAGATATATATAATATAAAAATTTAGTGATAATTATGTAAATCCTCTGAATTTGAATGTTTTATTGTGAATTTATTAGATTTTTATCTTTGGATATGAAAATTAAAAAAAAAAGAAATATGAAAAAATATGTGTTATTGGGAATTGATGCTTCTTTTTTTTAGTCAAAATCGGTCAAATTTAATTTATTTAATTTATCGAATAATTCTATATAATAAAAAAAGAACATCTTTAGTATTTTGTCTTATTAGAGTTAAATAAATAATATAGTTTATATTTTGTACAAAGCTGAGGTGTATTTATCTGGTTGGTTATTATTAAAGGTTGTAACGTCTAAAGCCTATATATAGGCCTGTACTCATCTGTAAAACATCGGGAAAAATAATCTGCAGTTTCTACTCTTTCTTTCGTCTTCTTTCCTCTTGTTCATTCTTCATGTTATCTTTCCACATGGTATCAGAGCAAGTCGTCGATCCTCCTGTTCAATGGCCCACTCCGCGACCTCTACCATCGCTGAAAATCGATCCAGTTCGGCGAACGATTCCACCGATCCGGTCATCTCTTCAAACCTGAAATTTCTTGTTTCTAACATCAAAAATGTCATTTCTATCCAGCTATCTCCGGACAACTTTCCTCTGTGGAAATCCCAGGTCCTTAAAATCTTTAAGGCAAATGGCTTCCACAAATTTCTTGATCCAGCCATTTCCCCACCGTCTGAATTCCATACAAATCAAGAAGGATCTTCATCTCCCAACCCTCTCTTCCTGCAATGGTCTCATACATATCAGAATCTATCTGCCTCACTCTGCTCTACGATTTCCCCCACGGTCCTTCTATATGTTCTTGCATTGGATTCGACCGCGGCCATCTGGACTGCACTGGAGACACAATTTCAGTCTACGAATCGCTCCAAAGCGATTCAGTTAAAGATCGAGCTTCACAATATCGCTCTCAAGAACTCCACCATGACTCAATACTTAACAGAAATCAAGACTCTAGTTGACAAGATCGCTACGGTCGGCTCCGTTGTGGATACAGAGGATATAATCCTCTACATCCTAAACGGCCTCCCTCATTCATACCAATCTTTCAAGACCGCCATCAGGACAATGCTCACACCAATCCATCTTGATCAGTTGTACCCTCTTCTTCTCAGCGAAGAAGTGAATCTTGCTAGCGACGCAGCCAAAGTCTCGAACAACTCAGATCCGAACACGGCTCTGTTTGTCTATCGCGGTAGAGGGCGGCGATCCCGCGGTCGAAACCTTTCCAACACCACAAAGGAACCAAGGAATTCAGCATCATCATCTTTAACTTGTCAAATATGCCTCAAGAAGGGCCACTCTGCTGCTTCTTGCTGGCATAGAGCGAACCTGCAGTACACACCGCCGACAAATCAAACTTCAACAGCACTTCTTGCTACCAACTCCAACGCCGATTCAAGCTGGTACTTGAACTCCGGTGCCTCCGCTCATCTCACGAACTCCATGGACAATCTCTCTCTTTCCCGACCCTACCAAGGCTCCGACACCATAACTATCGGCGACTGCAGTTCCGTAAACATCGCCAACACCGGGGCGGGACTTCTCTCGACCCCGTCACGTAAGCTGCATTTATCTAAAATACTTTACTCTCCTGCAATCCGTTACAATCTTATTTATATTTCTCAACTTACAAAGGATAATGATATTACCATTACCTTTAATCTGTCTGGGTTCGTTTTGAAGGATATGAAGACTCAACGAGTTCTGTTTCAAGGACCATGTAACAACGGTCTTTACACTTTGCCAAGGAACCCATCCACGGCAGAGAATACGGCGCTTATTACAGCTTCTACAAAGGCAGATTCATGGCACATGAAGTTAGGCCATCCGAATAAGCACACCTTCGACTTACTTTATAGTCGTAACCCAAGCCTAAAGTTAGGCAAATCGTCTATTTCGTGTGCATCTTGTGCTATGTCTAAATGACACAAATTGATTTTCGAACCATCTACACACACATCTACTACTTTGTTAGCCTTAATTCATTCCGACGTTTGGGGGCCAGCCCCCGTTATTTCTAATCAAGGCTTCAAATATTATGTAATTTTTGTGGACGATTTTTCTAGATTTACCTGGTTGTTTCCATTAAGAATGAAATCAGAAGTTTTTGAAACATTTATTAATTTTAAGAAACAGGTTGAGACATATACAAACCAGAAAATCAAAATTTTTCGTATAGATGGCGGAACTTAATATATGAATCAAGCTTTCTCAAATTTTCTTCGTTCTAACGGTATTATTCATCAGGCCTCATGCCCCTATACTCTGGAACAAAACGGAATTGTCGAGCATAAGCATCGGCACATCACTGAGACAATCCGCACCCTTCTGCACACATCCTCCGCCCCTTACAGATTTTGGCCAGATGCTGCACTTACTGCAACCTATTTAATCAACCGGTTGCCAACTCCAAATCTCAACAATCTCTCTCCGTTCGAAATACTTCACAACACCAAACCTAACTACAACTTCTTAAAAACATTTGGTTGTGAGTGCTATCCCCTCATTCCCTCGCAGAATCGGAATAAACTTCAACCCAAAGCTACACCGCATATCTTCCTAGGATATTCCGATATGTACAAAGGATACAAGTGTCTTGACACTACAACCAATAAGATTACTTTCTCTCGGCATGTCTTGTTTCACGAAAACAAATTCCCATTCTCTGCCGAACTCGCCAACCATCCCACACCTTCAGCTGATATTCCCCCACTGTTGCTTACCCCTGCCTCCACAAATATAAAGTCTAAACAGATCCAGTCTACACATGCTAGTCTTCCCAAGCCAACTGCTGACAACATCGTCGGTTCATCCCAGCAGAATCTGTGTCCTGATACTCTCAACTCGGGTAACTGCTGATCTCAGACCTCCAGCAACTCTGTTCCTCCGACTCACCCTATGACCACCCGCAGCAAAATCGGATCATTACGACCTTCCATACGATTAAATCTGCTGCATAAACAAACCTCATCCATACATTCCATTGCTCCTACTGCTTATTCAGAAGCTGTTCAAAAAGCAGAATGGCGTGAAGCAATGGCCACGGAATTCCTAGCTTTGCAATAGCAAGGCACGTGGTCCCTAACTCCTCCTCCGGCAAATGTGTCGGTCTTAGGATGCAAATGGACATACAGACTAAAGTTTCATGCATATGGGTATATTGCCAAACACAAAGCCAGATTGGTTGCTCTCGGAAACCACCAAGAATACGGAATTGATTACACGGAGACATTCAGTCCAGTCGCAAAGCTGCTACAATCTGGGTACTGTTAACTATCGCGCTTCACAACGATTGGCCGGTTCAGCAACTGGACGTGGCAAATGCTTTTCTTCACGGAAACCTGACTGAGATCGTCTACATGGCTCAGCCGAAAGGATTTGAGGATACTATTCACCGAAATTACGTATGTCGGCTCCATAAATTCATTTACGGATTAAAACAATCTCCGCGCCAATGGTACAACATGTTTACTGAATTTCTTGACACACTCGGGTTTGTTCATAGCCAATCGGACCCTTCTCTTCTACTATACAAACACGATAACACAAAGATCTTCCTCCTAGTGTACGTCGACGACATTCTTATATCCGACAATAACCAAGAAGTTATCAGTTCCATTCTTTCCAAACTATGAATCCGATTCTCTATGAAGCATCTTGGAGAGGTTAGTGAATTTCTTGGTGTTAAAATATCAAAAATCTCACATCAATTTTTTCTTTCACAGGAACAATATGCAAACAAAATTCTCCATGAAGCGGATCTGTTACATTGCAAACCGTTGGCTAATCCTACGTGTACCAAACCTCCAGAATTCGTTCCAGCTGATAACCTGCTGCAGGACGGTCATCTCTACAGACGGCTAACAGGATCGTTGCAATATTTAACGATAACCCGTCCGGACATTGCATTTAGTGTCAATCAACTATCTCAATATATGCCCAATCCACAACCCCAAAACATATACATGCTTAAACGCCTTCTCAGATATATCAAAGGTACGATCAATTTTGGCATTCCAATTACAAAATCTAATCTCCTCCTCACTGCTTTTTCAGACGCCGACTGGGCAGGCGATCCGTTATCACGCAAATCCACATCAGGCTTTTGTTCATTCTTGGGTGACACGATCATCTCATGGACGGTTAAGAAACAAACCACGGTCGCTCGATCTTCGACAGAATCCGAATACAGATCACTGGCGGCGTTAACTGCAGACATCATATGGCTTAGACGTCTACTTCATGACTTCGGCATCCAGCAACACACTCCAACAAAAATCTATTGCGACAACACCTCGGCAATAGCTCTCGCCAACAATCCGGTCTTCCACGCCCGCACAAAGCATATTGAAATAGACCAAAGATTCGTGAGGGATCATATACAGCAACAAAATGTCTCAATTTTGCCCATAAGTACAATCGATCAAGTTGCGGACATTCTTACCAAGTCCCTCTCCACACCTCGTTTTCATACTTTACGAACTAAACTGACAGTCACTAAGGACCCATCAGTTTGCCGGGGCGTATTAGAGTTAAATAAATAATATAGTTTATATTTTGTACAAAGCTGAGGTGTATTTATCTGGTTGGTTATTATTAAAGGTTATAACGTCTAAAGCCTATATATAGGCCTGTACTCATCTGTAAAACATCGGGAAAAATAATCTGCAGTTTCTACTCTTTCATTCGTCTTCTTTCCTCTTGTTCATTCTTCCTGTCATCTTTCCACAAAATACTTTTGTTTGCCAACTTAAGTGGCACTAATAAAAATATAAATTTATCTACAGAGTTGCAGACATATTTTATGCAAAAAGCAATATTTTATGTAATAATATAAATTGCTAGAAAAAAGATTATTTAGGTTTTGTTTGAAATAATTTTGTTATAGTTTTTTAAAACAGTTTTTTTTAGTATAAAGATTTTTTCAAAATAGTGATAAAAAATAATTTCAAACGAAGTCTTAGCTAATACAAATTTATGACAAATATTCCTCATCATAAATTCCATTTGTTAACGGCTATTTTGGGATGATAATTAGCGACAAATATCTATTTACACAATTTCTATTTGAAACAAAAAAGTATTTTGATGACATTTCTCCATCACAAAAGTATCAATCATCTTGTTGAAATGATGATTCACCTCTTAAGGATATCAAAAATATTGAGTAATTGTTCACTCTTCTTGCAACATCAACACTATCTTGCCAACCAACTTTATTATCAACTCACTTATACACAACATTGAAGTTTTCTACTCAATTATCATCATTGTTTGGAGAGATTATTCTGTGTGGAGATCAACCAGAATGCGTCAGATTCAACAGTAAAGAGAAGCACCGAGCATAAGATTGACTTGGCGCATTTTGGTTGTCTCCTATATGAAATTAAAACAATAACATAGCATCATAAAAATAAAAATAAAAATATATGGTTTGATCTTATGACCTATGATGATTATTCTTATTTTTTTATCTTAAAATTTTCAAGATAATATTTCTAAGAATGTATATTATTCTTATTTTTTTTTATCTTAAATTGTTTAATAAATATAAAATAAGTACTTCTAAATTTTGTTGGAACCAATCTCACTGTTATTTATTTCAAAAAGTAGAATTACTGTAGAAGTTGGAGTAATTTTTTGGTCAATGCCTCTTAATTAATGCAATTTTTATAATTTAAACCTTAGATATTTGGTAATTGCATTTGGAAATTTTAAATTTCATGGGTGTACCGCCCAGCTTCAAGACTCCAGCTACTGCTTCATCGCCTTGTTTTAAAAAAATGACCGTAACTGAGTTGCATGTGCTGCTTCTCCTACTTGTTGTAATTAATGTGGACCGGCAAATGTATGACACTATGCTATAAGATGAGAAACCATTTTTATTAAAATGAGATCACATCACTTCAACAGCCAACATCCCACGTACTGATCTGACCAAGTTCTAATTTAATAAATAAATATCAGAAGAAATTATTATGAATTAGTCAAATATATGGGGTCTCGGGCTAAGCCCTTAATTTTCCAAAAAAAAAAATGTTGAGTCAAGCCGACTCGGCCTTGACGAGTCGAGCTCGAATAGGATTTCGAGCTTTACGACTTATCGAGTGTGAGTTCGAACAACACACTGCTTGACTAGCGAGTTTGCCGAGCGACGAGCGGCTCTCAAATGGAAATCACGGGCAGGAAATTGCAAACTGAAATTTTTGTGGGCAAGAAATCGCAGAAAGAAGCTTTGTGGGCATTCAAAGGGCAGAAGTTTCGCGGATAGAAAATTTCCACTGGAAGGAATTGGAGCGGGAGGCTCCTATGATGCGATGGCTACGCCTGTTGGCCATTGAAGGCGTACTTAGTATAGTGGGATTGACTTTTCCTACAGACGGCGCCAAACTGTTGCAGACTAAAATATACGCGGCGATAGAGTTAGAATACTACGTCTTAGCGTTGCACGGATATCTAGTTCACACACAGAGAACACAAGATTTTTTACATGGAAAACCCTTAAAAGGGGAAAAACCACGGGGCCTAGCCCAGTTGAAAGATTTCACTAGGACTTGAGTTGGTTACAATGGGCTGACTCACTTCTGAGAGTGATCAGATTACAAGTAACAATTGTACAATAGAAATTCAAACGTCAAGTAATGGTTTGACAGGATTTCGGGTCTTAGATGAATGTTTGGCAGAATTTCGTGCCTTGGATGAATGTCTGACAAAGGTGAATGTCTTCAACGGAGGCCTGACAAAGATGAGAGCTTCAAGTAAAGGATTGGCGGAGCGTAAAACGTCAGGTGATGATCCGACGGAGCGACAGCGTTAGGCGATAATCCGGTGGAACACAGGGCGTCAGATAGTGGTCCGGCGGAATGACGGTGTTAGACGGTGGTCTGGTGGAGCACAGGGCGTCAGATGGTGGTTTGGCGGAGTGACGACGTTAGACTGTGGTCCGGTGGAGCACAGGGCGTCAGGTGGTGATCCGGCGAAGTTGCGGTGGTCCGGTGGAGCACAGGGCGTCAGGTGGTGGCCCGGTAAAGTGACGGCATTAGGCGGTGGTCTGGTGGAGCACAGGGCGTCAGATGGTGGTCCGGCAGAACTCCGGCGGTGGTCCGGTGGTGGTCCGGCGAAACTCCGGCGGTGGTCGAGGAGGCTAGGAAGCAAGAGCGATCTCCGATCTCTCTCTTTTTTCCTTAGGCTCAGGGGTTCCCTTTTCAATAGGAGAGATGGCTCTATTTATAGATTTTGGGAATGGCATGGCCTGTAAATAGGTGGAGGATCAAGGGTTACTTGGGAGTGGTTGGATGGACGGCCGATCTTGAATCCCTTGATCCTGAACTGTTCGATTAACTTTTGCATGGCGTAGTGATGTTGGAATTCAGTGATCTTGGGCTCGTTGGATTCGTCTCGTCGAGCCGCTCGATTTGACTATAAGCTTGTTATGTTTGGAATTCGTTTGGTAATCCAAATTGTGGTTTGAACCTTCCAACAGCGCTTCGGTCCTTGATTTGGACCCATTTGGGCTCAGATTGGGTCGAATTTGGTGTCGTTGGGTTTGTATTTCCGAGACGCTCAGTTCGACTGTAAGTTTACTGAAAACAGAGTTCAGATGCTCCTGATTTTGATTTCAGAACTTTTCAACTTGATTTTGCTTTGAGATTAGTGCTATATCAAGATAATTTTTTGCTTTGAGATTAGTGCCATATCAAGATAATTTTTGTATGATGTATCAATAATATTTAAAATTTATGAAAGAATGTGAAGCACATGATCCATGGGGACAACGGAAGTCAAGGTTTGATGATTTTTGTTAAATAAAGTTTCAATTAATAAATTTTATAACCTGTTTTTTTTTCATTTTGAAAAGTTCTGTGACTTATCAATCAAATATTTATGCGGACAATCACAGCATAAACATTATATTAAAAAAACAATAAAATGTGTTAGAAAATATATTTCAAATATGTTTTTTATTTCTATAGATTTTTTAAAACTTTATTGTATTATTTCTTATATTATATGCTTCCATGCAATGACATGAGATGAGCTAAAATAATTTATATTAATTTTTAAAACTAAAAATACAATTATAAATTTTGTAATTTCAAGAATTCATAAACATTATATTCTAAAATTCATTAAAATAAAATTATTATTTTATGCAATATAATTGGCCTAAATAGTCTTTTTTTTTGGAAACCACAAGTTGCAACTCCTGAAAGGGTGCTAGGCGTCGTGACTAATCCTCGATTGACCTAGAAGTGACACTCACCTCAAAAATCTCTTAGCTCGCATTTGATTGAACCCCACTGAACTTTTATTACATCCGGTGAACGTACGTAGAGCTACGTTCGGCCGACACTAAGATCGCACGCGCAAAACGAGAAATACTGAGCAAATACCAAGCAATACCAACAATAACGAGAAAATATCATTATGTGAAGACAAAATACCAAGTTATACCGAGCAATACCGAGTAATATCAAAAAATACCGAGTTTTTTCTAGAAAAAACTCGTTATTTTTTGGTATTGCTCGGTATTGCTCGGTATAACTCGGTATTGGTCTCATAGAGCGGTATTCTCATTATTACCAAACAATACCTAACAATACCGACCAAATACCGAGCAAAAACGAGTAACAATCCTCTGACCGAACGTAGATCTACATCCGGTCAGAGGACGTAATAAAAGTTCCCACTTAAAAGCCGCTGCCGATCTAGAGGAATCGAACACAGGATGAGGCATAGGGCATTAAAGTTTACAACATTTTCATATTTATTGTTTATTCAAAACAGGTCACTGTCAGTGGAAAAACTTTTGCAAATTCTTTGAATGTAATCTTGTTTCTTTGTTCTTTGTCCTCTCATGGCTTTGATGGACTAAAAGCGTGTTGAAGGGCTATTTGCTAAAAGCTGCACCAATATATTGAATTATTGACTTTAAAACAGCTCATCGGGATCCAATTAAGGCTTCATTTGAGGCGGCTTTCATAATATCTATTGTAAAATTGTTCTAGAAAATAAATTTTTAGTAAAAAAAAAATTAAAAGTAATGAAAAAAAAAAGACCAAATAGAACTTGGGCTGGCTAAAAAAAGAATTAATTCAAAAATTTTTTTAATAAAAAATTACTTTAAAAAGCAGTAAAAAATTCATCTCAGGCAAAGTCTAAGACTTCATTTTAGACAGCTTTCTTACTGCTTCTTAAAACAAAAAACTATTTTAAGAAGCAATAAGAAAGTCATCCTAGACTTCATTTGAGACTGCTTTCTTAATACTTTTAAAAGTAGCTTTCTAATACAAAAAGCTGGTGCAGGCCCTTCTCTCTTACAGGCTAAGACTTCGTTTATGACGGCTCTCTTATTGACTCTTAAAACAACTTTTTAAAAAGCCGTTTTAAGAAGCAATAAAAAAGCCACCCCAAACGAGCCCTAATACTCTAGCTGATACAGGATATACAGCAAGGATACTACGCGAAGCATCTAAATCGTCCATAAGCATGCAAAGAGCAGACAGGCGATTTGTCCTTGGAGAACAAAACCAGAAGAGTTTTAGGCTGAAGCTACACAGAATCAGAATAAAGGCTGGAAACAGGCTTCATCGAATAACAACAAATTAATAGCCATTTAATCTGAGAAAGATTCTCATCTTTAACACAAATGAAGATACCAAAACATAGAATTAGCTTCTTTCCTCAACTATGGCGATGGAATCTAGAATAGCTTGAACTAAAGTTGCCACTTTATAGGTGAAGAACCCAACAAGCATGGGTATCAATTCCAAGTGCATGAAGCCATGATCTGGAACTAGTATTCTGCATTGAAAATAGAAGCACGTGCGAAATTATTATCTTTATGAAGAATAAAACCTTTAAAGATTGAATAAAACTAGTTCAAACATCTATTATATGCATAAACACCCCTATTAATGTACATAAACTTCCTAGTTACTTATCCTTCAATGCAAATCGGTATGAAAGTGCGAGCAAGAGCAAGTATGAATACAGAAATCTGAGTGGATGGACAGACATCAGCAGAGAATTCAATATATATTTATGCATGTGGCATTATGATAGAAAACAAGTACCCAAAAGCAGAAAAAACTGTTGTTTTCGGAAGAAAACAAAAACTTGATTGCAGCAACCTTGAGAAAACTATGAAAATCTGAGTGAAAAATGAAGGAGAACACTAACGGATGCAGAAAAACAGCAAAAGATACATGTTTCTTTAATTCTAGAGGAAGAAACGACTCTCCAAATCTCTAGCCAAGAGACTAGAGAACAAGCATACAAGATATCTCAAATTTCTGATTCAAATTCAAGATAATCTCCAAACCCTAACAAAAGAGACTAATTAAAGCAAAAGGAACATTAAACAATCCCTAAACATCCCCTAATTTAAATTTTTCCTTCCCACCAACGCTCCCCCCCCAGGCCGGCGGGTGTAAATCATAACCAGTCCAGATTGGACCGGTTCGAGTCTAACACATTACAACTACCCTACATGGATAAACAAAACGAAAATTAAAAAAAATGATAAATAGATTATGGTAAAACGACAGCAATTTGTAGAAAGCAACTGACTTGATCACATTGCTAATGGAATATAGTTTTCAGCACTCTAAAATGAAAAGTTTCAAGATGAAAATGAGCTTACTCATTCCACCGACTGTATATCATAACAATAGCCACTGGAACAAGTAATCTCGGTTGTCCAACAGCTCCCCTGCAGAAAAAATGTAGCAGTTTTCACTTCAGAAATGTTGGGGAACAAATTATTTTTTGCGTTTACGTCCATTGTATCCAAACAGTAGCCGAATTTGCCCAAGCAAATCTAACATGTACATAAACTTTCTATCGTGCATTATGTTATTTGTATTTTTATTCAATTGTGAATGATTTTCCAAATTAACTCACAATTTAAGCATCAAGCTATTATAGCCTGCTCATAGTAAATAACATAATGACGAAATGATAGAAGGTCAGTTACTTCTAAAATTCAAACAAAGGATGATATTACTGGAGAAACTGCAATTCCCCGAAACTGTAATCTAAAGTTAATGGATTTCACACTTTCTAGTTCACTTGCACCACTCCAAAAAATGTAACTCTAGCCATTAGCTATTTGAATGCATTAGCTATTTGAATGTGATATGTTGGCCCATGACTATGTTAGACCCGTCCATTGGACCAGTCCAGCCGGTCTGCACAGGACTGACCCAGCGCAACAGAGGCGGGATCTCCGCCTCCTGCGAAGATCGAGCAATCCGAACGCCCAAGCGGAGCAATTTAGGAAGGATTTTTTAGGGATTTGAGAGGGAAATTTGAATGTAGGGACTGTTTAGAGATTCCCTTTTGAATTGTATGCATTAAATAGTTTTTTTTCATAGGGTTAGGGCATCTTCAATTTGGCTGAAATTTGAGATCTCCTAGAGTTAGGTTTTCCTTTGGGCTCTAGCTGGGTCTAGAGATTTGGGAGAGATCAATATGATGGGGACATCAGCTCGTGGAAAGTTTATCAGAGGCGTGTCCGCCGATCTACGGCCACGGTCGAGTCCTTCTATTTCTGAGTTATTTATGTTATTTTCCTATTCATGTATTTTTCTATTTTCTTGTGTCATGTATTTGTTTTTATTATTTTTCCAGTTGTACCCTTTTAGTGGGGAATGTCGTATGCAAGCTCGGAGGGCAAGATTGTCTTTTATCTTCTTGAGTCCTTGTACTTGGCTATTTATAGCCTCTTGTCTTATGTTTTGAGGTTAATGAATGATTAAGAAAATTTTTCCTGCACTTGTGTTCTTGAAGCTTTTGTGAGAGCTTGAGAGAGAGTTAGAGAGCTTGGTGGAGCCTAGGATAGGCCACCCGTCGTACCCAACAGTCACCACCGATGGCTCTTGGTTCTCCTCCCCTTTCCCTCCCTTCCCCTTACCTCCACCGCCGGCCCCAATCCCCTAACCGCCGGCCGGCCCCCTTCCATCTACTCCCTCCATTGCCACCACTTTGTCAAATTGGGATAGATATCATTGGGGGCTGATTTTGAAATTCAAATCAAGCAATTAGAATTTTAAAATCTTTCCTAAGTTAGTTGATCTATTTTAGGAAAGTTTCTAAATCCATCTTATTTGAATTTAAAATTCAAATTGGATGAAAGGCAAAACTTTCCTAATTTCAAAACCCAAAATTGGAAGCCCAATTAATTGCTCCCCAATTCCCTCCTTCCCCTTGGATGCCGCCGGCCCCTCATGCCCATCCCCATTAATGCTCTTTTGATTGTTTCCTAAAACCCATCCCACACTTTGGAAATATTTCCTAATCTCAATTTCCTACTTGGCCGAAATTTTTAATTCCCTCGTGCCTCATTAATTCTTTCCAAAACCTCACAGTGGATTTTGGAAATAAATCCCTTCACCTCTCAATGTCGCCGGCCCCCTAGCCTCACCCTTCCCCTTTTGAGTTTGTTGCAACTTCAAACCTCCATAGTTGAAGAAAATCTGAAATCAATTTCAGATTTTTGCTCTTTGGCTCCCCTCCTCTCAAATTAAGAGAAACTTCTTTCTCTTTCGAATATCTTCAAGAGCATCGTCAAGTTGAGAGAGATTTGTATCCGGCGCCCATTAATGGCGGATCCTGCAACTGAATACGGCTTAACGTGGGACGATGACGGCTTCACCGATATTCTACGATCAACCTTCTTCGACGTGAATCCAAGGGTTGATCATACCGTCGAGGACTATTTGGAGCGTATTATGGACACCTTAGTGGAAGCAATCGACAAGGACTTCGAAGGTGTCGAGTGGAGGATCTCCACCACTCCTTGACGAGAGGTTATCTTTTTCCCTTTTCATTATATTTCTCTAGCCTAACTCTATCTTGTGCTTGATTGTAGTCACAAAGGACGACTCTCCCTGCTACTGCTATGCTTAGTAAACGTAGGATTTTTGGAGCGTGCCTTTATGCTTGCTAATTTTCATTGTTAAATTAGGGATTGTTTTGAAACTACTACTACGGCATTAAGTGATTTACTAATTGTATTGAAAGCTTTTCTCACTCTCTGGATATGTAATTTAGCCTAAGCGGGTGTGACCCCTCATTTGTTTTGATTCGTTGTTTTGAACAGCTTTTAGTCTTGTTCTTTGGTTGTTCTAATCAAGAGTAGTGCACATTTCATATAAATTAACTGCATTTCATATTTAGTCCTGCATCAACGATCCTCCTCTCGAATAGAGGATCAATTTTATATTGCTATTTTCTGTTTCCCTTTCATCAAATAATACAAATTATCTACTGTTTTTGTGGTTTTGTGCGGATTTGTGTGGAGAAAACTCGTTATTTTTCGAAGATTGATAGGAAATACTCGAGATCTACAAATACTTCCTTTCAAGCTGCAACCATAAACAAATAAGTACAGGAATGACCTTATCTACAGTAGCACCCAGGTACTAAAAATTTATCTTACTTTACAAGGCCTTTAGCCCCAGATGCCATGGAATCTATAGTATTGCCTAGCATTCTGATGTAGATAAGGGAACCAATCAATCCTGCACCAAAGCTGAAGATAGTGGACGTTAATAAATCCAGTAACCAACTGCATATAAAGTATACGTTAAAAACTAAATTAAAATGGAAATCCTCAATATCAAAGCTGGATTTAATCTTATATATTGTAAGTCATTACAACAAGAATTATTTGCATTTTTCCAACCATTTAGGAAATTAAAGTAAAAAGTTTGAATCCATCATGAACGTGCAAATTATTTTTCAAGAAACTTTATTTCGTCTGCAAAGAGGTTCGGTTTAAGAAGAGAACATTTCAGCAAAAGAGAGAGATCCAATCCCATATTGATTAATTATACATGTAAGCAATCCAAAATGCATAAACTGCACAGAGATTAAGTAAAAATTAAAATGGAAATACTCAAAAAACAAAGCTACATTTGACAAATATATTGATAGTCATTTGTCTCCAACCATGAAGGAAATTAAAGAAAAATGTTAGATCCCATCGTGATCCTGCAAATTATTTATCAAGTAAGAAACCTTAGAGACCATGAAAAGAGTTTAAGAATGAGAAAAAATACTTCACTAAAAGTGAGTGATCCAATGACAGATTTATAAATTAGACATGAAAGTCATATGTAAACTGGAAAATCCAAGAAATAAGGGGTAGCATTAAACTGAATAGGACTTTCAAAGAGTGATTTCAAACAAGTACCCTGCCTCAATTCAAGTTTCAAGATTCGATGTCAAGTTGTTATCCTGCAAATTTTGAATCTATCCCAACATATTTCTTGTGAAGATTGACTTTGTCACAGTACCAACATAAATGTGTAAAACCAACCAAAAAAACATCATTATAATACAAATATATTATTTTCTATAATATACGAATATAAATTGCAAATAGTTACAATGTAATTATAAATACACACAAAGTTATATATTTATTACATACATTTATAAATGCATTTATACATTTTTAGTCGGAATACATTTCACCTCATGTTTTCCATCGTAAACTTCATTGGAGAAGCAAGTCCCAATGGCATATTGGTGAATATAACTAAAGTCAAATGTATGATTTTGCAAGAAAGAGATAAAATGCAACCAAAGCCCTAATTTAACATTCCCACGTATGATTAACAGTTCCTGAAAATCCTACTCCGCCAACACCACAATCAGCTCTTCCAACATCCTCGCAAACAAGATGATGAGAGGCTCTCCATATTCATGGTTGCAGCCGTCTTGCTCCCATGCCATGCAACCTCTTTCTTCGCAAATCCTCCTACAACCCCATTCTCACGATGTCATCTTGTTGCCTCCTGATTCTCTCTTCTCAATCTTTGCTCAACCGCTGAAAGGAAGAAATAATGGTGTACTATCCATTAAAGATATCTCTCGTCCAGTTCCTTCCTCTCATGGACCTTCCATCATCCTTATTTCATTTAAACAAAACAAACTTCAGCTGGGTGATCAATCGAGCTAGAGCTCAAGTTCACCCTCCAAGGGCTGAGTTCATATTGCTCAGCTAGTTTCCATCCATGTCTTATCACAATCCTTTTAAGTTATTTCCAATAAAGCATATTGCTACGGTTCTCCCTTAACCGACCAAACCAGCCCAGGTGGGGCCGGTTCACTTATATAGGAGGCGGACTAAGCCGCCTCCTTAGAAATTGCCGCCCAAGCCCCTAGGGTATTTTAGGAAGATATGTATTTTAACACTGCACCCGACGCCCGGGTGCAGTGTTAAATAGGCAAGGGTTCCCACATGAAGGACGGATGTGGGCAAAGAAGCTAGTCCATAATACTAAAATTAGGATAGGAACTTGGAATATAGGTTCCCTTACTGGTAAATTAATGGAGTTAATAGATATTATGATTCATAGGAAATTAAATATTTTGTGCATTCAGGAAACTAAGTGGGTTGGAGAGAAGGCTAAGGAAATCGATAGTTTAGGTTTTAAACTTTGGTATTCGGGTAGGAGTCGTACTAGAAATGGTGTAGGTGTCATTATAGATAATAGTTTAAAGGATAATGTTATAAAAATTAATAGGATTGGTGATAGAATTATAGCTTTAAAGATTGTTATTGAGGATAAGATTGTTAATATTATAAGTGCTTATGCTCCTCAGGTAGGTTTGGATATAAGTTCTAAATTAAATTTTTGGAATGACTTAGAAGAATTAATACAAAAGATACCTCTTGAAGAAAGAGTTTTTATTGGAGGAGATTTAAATGGACATGTTGGTAGAGAGGTAGATGATTTTAAAAGCATTCATGGTGGCCATGGATTTGGAACGACGAACGAAGGTGGCAAGACCATGGTGGCCATGGTTTTGGAACGACGAATGAAGGTGGCAAGACCATATTAGATTTTTGTTTAGCTTATGATTTTTCAATTGCTAATACCTTATTTAAGAAAAGGAATGAGCATCTCATCACTTATAAAAATGGATGTTGTACAACCCAGATTGACTATTTTCTTATTAGAAAATTAAACCGTTTAGAATGCAAAGATTGTAAAGTTATTCCGAGTGAAAGTTTATGTACCCAACATCGATTATTAGTTTTGGACTTTAAGATAAAGGGGCATAAAATAAAAAATAAAGTAAAACGTTTTTCGAGGATTAGATGGGGGCATTTAAAGAATATTAACCAAAATATTTTTGTGAGTAAGATTTTAGATCTTAAGATTTTGTCTGTGCATGAGGATGCTAATGTTATGTGGGAAAAAGTGGCTAGTGATATTAAGAATATTGCAAAAGATGTGCTTGGAGTATCTAAGGGAAAAGCTCCTAATAGTAAAAATAGTTGGTGGTGGAATCCAATTGTGCAAGAAAAGATTAAAAATAAGAAGATTTGTTATAAAAATTGGTTTAATCTTAAAAATTCTGATAATTGGGAATTATATAAAGTGGCTCGTAAGGATTCTAAGAAAGCAATATGTGATGCAAAGACATTAGCTTTTAGCGATTTATATAATAGATTAAATACTAAGGAGGGAGAAAGATATATGTATAAGTTAGCCAAACAAAGAGATAGGAGTAGTAAGGATTTAGTTCAAGTGAAGTGTATTAAGGATGAAGATCAAAAAATACTTTTCTTAGAAGATGATATTCAACAAAGATGGATGAGATATTTTGCTAAACTTTTTAATGAAGAGTGTGAAAATAAGATTGACTATAGTGACCTTAGCACCCTAAATGAAAGTAAAGATTTCTGTTTTTATCGGCGTATTAGTAAAACTGAAGTTAGAGAGGCTTTAAAGAAAATGAAGGGTGGAAAAGCTGTTGGACCTGATGATATTCCAATAGAGGTGTGGAAATGCTTAGGAGATGAAGGGATTTCTTGGCTTACTAAACTTTTTAATACTATTTTGAAGACTAAAAAGATGCCAGATGAGTGGAGAATGAGTGTATTAATTCCTATTTTTAAGAATAAAGGCGATGCACAGGATTGCACGAATTATAGAGGTATTAAGTTAATGTGTCATACTTTAAAATTATGGGAGCGAGTTATAGAGCATAGGTTGCGGCGTGATACTAATGTTTCTCAAAATCAATTTGGATTCATGCCGGGTAGGTCGACTATGGAAGCCATACATTTATTCAGAGGTTTGATGGAAAAATATAGAGGAAATAAGGAGGATCTACATATGATATTTATTGATTTAGAAAAAGCATATGATAAAGTTCCAAGAGAAGTGCTATGGAGAGTTCTTGATAAGAAAGGAGTCAATAATGCTTATATTCAAATCATTAAAGATATGTATGCAGGAGCTATTACTTGTGTTCAAACACAAGGTGGATTGACCAAGTATTTCCCTATTTCGGTTGGGTTACATCAAGGATCAGCCTTAAGCCCATATCTATTTGCTTTAGTCATGGATGTTCTCACTAGACATTTGCAAGATGATGTACCTTGGTGTATGCTTTTTGCTGATGATATTCTTCTTGTTGATAAGACTAGAGAGGGAGTTGAAGGTAAACTTGAATTATGGAGGTCAACCTTAGAGTCTAAAGGTTTTCGCTTGAGTAGATCTAAAACGGAATATATGGAGTGTAATTTTAGCAGTAATAGTCCTAGTGAGGGGATTGTGACTTTGGGCGATCAAGTCATTAATAAGAGTACACGTTCCAATCCATGAAAACTGCGAATGTCATGTAGAGTACGCGGTGTTGGCCATTCCACGATAGCAGTCACCTTGCGGGGATCCACCATAATTCCTTCAGCTGAAATGAGAAATCCTAAAAAGGATACTTGTGTCAAAGCAAACTCACATTTGATAAGATTTAAATATAACTTGTTCTGCTTCAGAATTTCAAAGACAGCAGTTAAGTGTTTGATATGTTCCTCCACCGATGAACTGAATACTAGTATGTCGTCGAAGTACACCACACAGCAGCGATTTAAAACTGGCCTCAAGACGTCGTTCATTAGACGCATGAATGTGGCAGGCGCGTTGCACAAACCAAACGGCATTACCTTCCACTCGTACAATCCTTGTCGCGTCTTAAATGCGGTTTTCCACTCGTCACCCGGACGAATTCGAATCTGGTGGTATCCGCTCCGCAGATCAAGCTTAGAAAATATTTGAGCTCCCGACAACTTGTCGATCATATCTTCCAATCTCGGCATTGGGAACCTGAATTTAGTTGTAATTTTGTTTATAGATCGACTATCCATACACATCCTCCAACTACCATCCTTCTTAGGCACCAACAATGCAGGCACTGCACATGGGCTAAGACTTGGCTGAATCAGTTGCTTATCTAGCATTTCATCCACTATCTGCTGCAGTATCCTATGTTCATTCGGACTCATTTTGTAGTGAGGCAAGTTTGGCAGATTTGCTCCAGGGATTAGGTCTATCTGATGCTGAATGTTTCGCATAGGTGGCAATCCACTGGGTAGCTCCGGTGGAGCAATTTCAGAAAATTGCTCAAGTAAAGATCGGACTCCTTCAGGAATTGAATTCTCCTCTGTGTCAGTTGTGTCACTATTCTGTTCTTTGACAACCAAAGCCAACAACTGTGATGCCTCCTTCCATGCATTAATCAAGGCTTTTCCTGAGACAGCTACCAGAGACGCCTTAGAATTGTCATTTTTGACATCCAGTTCAGGACTTCGGGGAAGAAGTCTTAAACGTCTACCTTTCCAATCAAAGGAATACGTATTAGCTCTACCATCGAAAATTGTGCCCACATCGTATTGCCACGGCCTTCCCAAAATTAAGTGACATACATCCATATCCACCACGTCGCAAAGAACTTCGCTTGCATAGTGTTTGCCGATGGAGAAATTTACCTTGCACATGTCTGTTACTGCCATATCAATTCCTTTTTTAACCCAACTAATTTTATATGGGTTAGGACTTTTAGATGTCTTCAACTGCAACGATTGTACAACTGCACGAGAAATGACATTTTCCGTGCACCCCGTATCAATTAGTACTTCACAAACTTTACCCATAATAGTGCATTTTGTTTTGAATAAAGCATTCCTTTGAGTCTTGGCGGGTCGCCGAGGTGCCAGAAGTAAGCGCTGCAGCACACACAGAACAGGTTCTCCCTCATCACCAACCACATCTTCGGGCCGTTCTTCTACAGTTTCAAAATCATCTTCTTCTCCTTCTTCGTCTTCCCCTTCTAGTAATTGAAGTTGTGCCCGTGTGGGGCACTCATTGGACTTGTGACCCGGCTGAAAACAACGGAAACATTTGAATGTAGCTGGCTTAGCGTACGGATTTTCCTTCACTGGATTCTTGCCTTTCAGAATACCTCTTGGTTCCAATGCCTTTAGCCCCGGTGTCGGAGGTGGCCCAGCAGCCGTGGATACTGCAGTTGGCTTTGTAAAACTAGCTGATTGTGAAGTAGCAGAATTCTTATTTCCTTCTGCGGCTGGTTCCCAATTTCTCCTGCTCTGCCTGTTGAGATAGTGTCTCTTTGACTGTAACTCCACTTTAAGAGCAAAATTTACAGCTTGGGACAATGACCAAACTGAGTTGAGCTCTAATTTGTCTTGAATTGGTTCCTTCAACCCACTAACATACCTTGCCACCAACTGGTTTTCAGATTCGTTGAGATTGTTCCGGGCACTTAACCGATAAAATTCTTCGGTATACTCATTCACCGTCTTGTTCCCCTGCGAGCAATGTTGATACTGTACGTACAGCATCTGCTCGTAATCGGTTGGTAAAAAGTGTCCCCGGAGTAACTGTTTCATTCGAAACCAACTCCGAACTGCTCCCTTGCCATCTCGCCGTCGGGATTGAAGCACTTGCTGCCACCAAGCGCTGGCACCCCCCTTCAATCTGCAGGCAACGTATTTTACTTGCCGTTCCGGGCTAATATCCATATACTCAAAAAAAGATTCAACAGATCTCTCCCAATCGAGGTAATCCTCGATATGCAACCTTCCGTCGAAAAATGGTATGTCCAATTTGATTCTAAATTCTCCCTGTGTTCTGTCTCTTCCGGCATACCTCCTACGATTCGGGATCAGTTCGTCTTCTGAATCAGATTGTTCCACCAACCGACCGCGTTCAAATTCCTCATCTGAATCGGTCATCTCCGGCGCCAGATCGTTCCGTTGACGTTCCCCATCTCCCACGAACCCACGTCTCGCTGCTTGTCCCCTAACCGGACCTGCTGTTCGAGCGGCTTAATTCCTGTCAAGACGAGCATTAATCAACCTTAACTCGCGGCGCATCTCCCCGAAGAAACGGTGCATATCCCCTGCCATTTCTTCCGTTCGTCTCGCCAATTGGCGGTGTTCGGTCCACAGGTCTTTCAGGCTGTTTTCGTCATCGGTAGCCACCCGATTACTCCCTTCTGCCATCCTTGCTCTGATACCACTATGATGCCGAAGCTGCTCCGTCGATCACCAGATACCTGCAAGAGATTGAAAACAGAGGAAAAGATGCAATGCAAGAGGCAATGGAACAGTAAACTTTCTATGATATTCTTCTTAATGATCCATCTTCCCGGTAACCAGACTACTTCTACCTTCTTGGCTTTGCTATTATCAGCCCTACACGTGGAAAGTACTGAAAAAGTTAAATAACTAACTAAAGAAACGAACAAAGTGGAGCACATGCCCACTAACGCCTAAGCAGACACATAAAGCAGTAAAATTCATAATAAAAGGATAATTATCTGAATGCTAATGACTGCATCCAGAGATGTAATGGTGTGCACCGCATCAATGAGAGGTTAGGGTTAGGGCATGCTAGATTATTGTTTCTCTTGGAGTTCTCTATGATATCTTAGGCTCTATACTAAACGTCTAGAGATTGGGAGAGAACGATCCTCCTCTCGAATTGAGGATCAATTGTATCTTTGCTTTGTGCTTGCTTTGATTTGATTTCTATAATACAATTTACTGTTTTGGATTGTTTTCACTAAAGTTCTTGAGTTTTTCTCGCTGTTTTTACTATTTATTGTTAGGCTTGCTTGCAAACTCAAGTATTTCTCATTAGGGTTACTTGAGAACTCAAGTATTTCCTATCACATATTCAACAAAAATGAGCAATAAAAATAAAGACAGTTAACATCAAATTTCCAAATTAAACTATAATTTTTGAATCATAATCGGCATAAAAATATTTTACAGTATGTATGTGTCACTTCCCAGGCCTACCTAGCAGCAATTTCAGGACTGTAGGAAACATATGCTGAGATTACGCCAATGCCACCAATCCCTAGAGTGAGCACCTGAAGATTTTTCTTCAACTGCAAAACAGCATTTGATAGAATAATTACTAAGATTCCAATTTCCAACTTTTTACATAAATTAAAATATAAGTTTCCTTGACCAGATTATTCGCTCTTCAATTCATAATTAAATATGCAACAGATAGCTGTAATTCATGTTTCAGAAACACCTTGGCAACAAATCTTTAAGCACATATAAGCAAGAAAACTTCGTAGTTCTGAAAAACAAGTATGCCTAAGATCAGGGGAAAACAAAGTACCTTAACATAGTCCTCTGAAGATTGAGCTGCCAAAACCCTAGGATCCCCTCGACTCCTAGATGATTCTCGTATTATGACATCCTACCAAATTCACATAAATGATATAGTAGGTAAATTCATTAAGAGTACGAAATGCATGTACCGAACAGTTATTTTATGGGCATTATGGGGCATCTAACAACTGAGGCAGGAAAAAAGGCTTAATTGAGTACATCAAAATAAACTCGTGCGTAAATTAAGAAAAAAAGATATGTACATGGCACCTTAATAGTTTGGGCAAACAGTACAAATTCTACAGTTTAAATGTTCATTGTTAGGTTCCTCACAAGTTATCTATAAGTTTCGTGTTTGGTTCATTTTCATTAATAGTGCCTTTATCTAAAAAAACATTTTTTTTGTGATTAAATAGTTTACTCTCTCTCTCTTACCCCACTCCACAAACCCTGCCTGCCAAAGAAATAACTGGAAGGGAAATCCCTCACTTCCGCACCCTGAAACTAGGGAGATCTATCTCCCCCCTCTAATGACACAATATGACACGTTTGCCTCCAGTTATCAGCCTTAAGCCTTTGTATCAGTTTAGGCAGTTGTTATATCATTTTACTTATTTATGACTTTGTTATTTCGGAGGTGTAATGTAGGCATTCTTGTCATTTTGTTATGTATGATTTTGATTACAAATATAATGAGCGTTAAGTTTTAATTAAAAATGATGGCTTATGAAATAAATATACAACTTTCCTTCAGCATCGTCTATGGTGATCAAACAGGAACCCCGCCATTCACCTTTCATTCCCATATGCATTGGCTTATTCTAAATCAACATATCCAGGTTCTTAGCCACATTCCCCTAAAGTTCCAATGTTAGTCATCATTCTCACCTAATTTTGAAAAAAGGGAAGAAGGTTCATACGAATTCATGATTTGTGGCTCTAGCGTCTCTGTAAATAACCAGTGAAATTCACAAGGTTGTTGAAAGCTAAAGGGCACATGTTCTCAAGGTGGTTTTCTCCAAATATAACTTGTTCCATTGTTTGAGATCTACTGCTATCTTCTTGTTCATAATTGTCAAGGGAAATTGTTTAATGTTCTAGAAATGAGATTTGATATATGGAATATAGTACTAGACAATTGTGAGTCTTCCCTTTTCTCTACCTCAGAAAGATTTTGCTTTCTCCCTTTTTACACCTAGTCTCAATTCCCTTGAGACATCCATTAATCTCTTTTTCTCAATCTCTTCTTTCAAATTATTCTCTTATCAATAAAACAAGATATCAAAATCTATAAAATTTTCACTTTCATTGCCCCGCCCAGTGTAAATTGATTTTAGAGTAAAAGTTCAAGAATTCAAAGAATTCTTCATGAATAAATTAAATTGTTTTCACATTTAAGATGACAAAAAATAATGACATCGCCTCTTTCTTGTCCTTAATCCCTTTGGCCTCTCACTCCATATGCCCTCTACAATAATTCTTGAAAACCTTTTGATGCAGGATGTACTTAAGACACATGAGTTACTAGGTTTAGCCCCAAATCAAGTAGTTGAAAAATATGTTGATGTAAAAATACCAAGTGGTTGGCCCCCTTCTATAAGCTTAGACTTTGGGATTGAAAACGAGTTTGACTAAGGCTTTGTTTGGAGCCGTTTAAGTTTTTTTTTTTTTTTTTCCTTTCAAAATCTACTCTCTCCCAAAATTTCAAAAATATTATTTAAAAATAGCTTTTTAAAGACAAAAGATTGAAAAAATACTTAGACCAAGTTGTCTTCCAAACAAACATTATTTTTCACTAATTGATTTCTTACTACGAAAATAGTCGAAAAGCTCTTCCAAACAAAGCCTAATGGTGTATCATGCCAACTTTAGTCTTCCTTTAATCCATAATCGCTAACGAGTTGTATCAAGACTAATGTTTTGGTCCATGGTTTAAAATTGCGCAATATGAGGCTTGCCTTGAGGCCCGCCTTTGCACAATTCCAGTAAAAAACGCCTCGATGCTTACGCCTCGAGTTTTTATTATGAGGCTTACACCTCAACTTGGTTGAGGCCCGGCTTAAGGCCCGCCTCGCCTTGCTGGCATGATTTTCTATGTTTTATATTATTCACATTAGTATATAAAAAATTTATCATTTTATGTTTACGCGATCTTTTGATTTTGAGGCTTACGCCTCAAAACACCTTGATGTTTACTCCTCGCCTCACGAATGGAAAATGCCTCAATACCCGAATACGCAATTTTAAACATTGTTTTGGTCCATCTAATAACTTACATGGTTCTTATGGGGCATATGCCCCTTCTAACATGATTGAACAATATTCAAAAGAATGCGACTCCAAGATTGTAACATTAATTGGTTAAATGAAGCAAAGAATCCACTACTATCACTCTCACACATCCCTCTCTCCCTATCTAGCTTGGTAGCCACATCTAATCCCCTCTCTCCTCACAACAAGACTCCTCTACTCTCCCTTTTCTCAGCCTTCTCTCTCCCTCCCTCCTAGCTATCCTCATTATCTTTCTACTCATAAGCTCCATCCAACCTACATCAAGAAATTCATCACTTAAAAGAGAGACTGGTTATATCAAGATGATGAAGATCCTTTCATTATCAAATCGTTGTAGGCAGCATCAAATCCCCATGACCTCCTCCCATCTAAACTGTAAAATCTAACTTCATTAGAGTTTCAACTCATTTTATAGTTATAGCTCACAACAACATCAAGCTGAATGAATCATTTTTCTCCATTGTATCCTATTAAGAGCCAAATTCTCATTTAAATATAATAAAAAAGGACATTTCTAATATTTTCTTACAAGGACTTTTTAGGTCTACCTCTATCTTTCATAACATTTGCCAAATTTAATACAACTACTCTCTTAACCTAATCAACAGAAGACTAACATTTTATGTAACCAACCCGTCTAAGGAGACTATCTCTAAACTTATCTGCCACTAGAGCTACTTCAACCTTTCACATCTATACTTGTTTCGCATTATGTCTCTAGGTATAAAGTCACTCATCCACTTGAGCATCCTCCTCTCTGCAATAATTAACTTAATTTTATGCTTTTTTTAATGTCCAATATTTTGCGTCATAAAGCATTGCAAGTCTCACCATCTTTTAGAATTTTCTTTAAGTTTGAGGGATATTTATCTATCACACAACAGGCCTGATGCATTCCTCCACTTCAACCATCCAACTTAAATTCTACTAATAATACCCCATCTATTTTAACATCACTTTGAACAATATAACCAAGATATCTAAAACATATACTCTTTTTAATGACTTGATCGCCCAAAGTAACACTCCCCCCACTAAATCTATTATTATTAAAATTATAGTTAATGTATTTGGTTTTAGATCTAGTCAAAAGAAAACCTTTAGACTCTAAAGTTAACCTCCATAATTCAACCTTTCCTTCAACTCCCTCTCTGGTCTTATCAACAAGGGTACATCCTCTTGCAAATGTCTAATAAGAACATCCATGACTAAAGAAAAAAGATATGCACTTAAAGCTAATCCTTGATGTAATCCAACCGAAATAGAAAAATACTTGGTCAAACCACCTTGTGTTTGAATACAAGTAACAACTCCAATATACATATCCTTAATGATTTGAATATAAGCATTATTAACTCTCTTTTTTTTCTAGAACTCTTCAAAGCGCTTATCTTAGAACTTCATCATATGATTTCTCTAAATCAATAAATATCATATATATATATCCTCAGTACTTTATCTATACTTCTCCATCAAACCTCTCAATAAATATATTATTTATTATTATTTGCTTATTTATAATTTTTTGCACTCTCTCTACTTGCTACTTTGAATTTTCTATCCTTGTTACATCCAAAGCCCTAATTTCGCCTCCAATGGCTGCCATCTCCTTCTAGCATTCCATTATGTTAGTTGCATCTACACTAGGGATCCACAAAGGAAACTAGCCTTCAAGCTCCACCACACTCACACTATCCTTTCCCCAATTCACACCTTCAAAGAGAGCTTCGATATATCAAGATGAGGAAGGTCCTTTCATTCTCAAAGCACTGATGGCAGGATCACTTCCCCACGGCCTTCTCCTTCACAAATCCAACCTAAATTGTAAAATCTAATTTCTTTAGGGTTTCAACTTATTTTACTGTAATAGCTTATTTATTGTTTTTTATTATTTCTATAATTGTTGCATCCAAAGCCTTATTTCTTAACCTCCAATGGGTATCATCTCCTCCAAGCACTCTGTTAAGTTAGTTGCAATAAAATCCAGGCAAAAAAAAAACATCATGTTTTTAGAGATATCTTTTTCTAGATAATAATTATGTTGCTAATGCCCAATCATGAGATATTATTGTTGATGGTGCTATTTTTCATCTTTTTTCTCTTTTCTCATAGGGTGGATTTCAAGTTCTTAATTCCAATAGGCTAGATTGTTTAACACGGTATCAAAGTTGAGGACTTCCAATTCCTCCCAATAGTATTTTAATTTTATGGAGTTTTCTTTAAGCCCATGGGGGCTGACAAAGTTCGAGACATTTACTTCAAGCTATCATGCTCTTTGTTGAAGTCAAATTAGTCACTATTATTTAATTTGTCATGTTCACACCATCAACCTTATTTATCTTTTTCATATCTTTAAAAAGAAAATTTGTCTTTCATTATTGTGGACATGTTTGCCATTATTTTTAGAGCTAGATTGTTTCATAAACTATTATTTTATTATAAATTGAAAGCATTTGATTATTATTGATGATGATTAGAATCAACGTAAGGATACCTATGGCATCCTCTATAGGCATCAATTATTCCTCCTACAATAGATGATGTTCTTTCTTCCTTCCTACCCTTTTAGCCCCTGCCTCTCTGGCCTTTAGATATTCATTAATATTTCTTCTTAATCTTTTTCATCCTCGCATTTTTCCTCCACCTTCGATTTTCTCTCCTCAATAAATCAAGGTATCATAGTTCACCATAATTTTTACTTCCATGCTCATATCCTCTCTCTCTCTCTTCCCACCCCCTGTCTAATGTAAAATATTTGCAAATACACACAATAATCTAACTCAGGTATTAGCATAGGAGGAAAATTAACAACTTACACTCCCTCCAGTAGCAGCTTTGTTTGCTCTATCCCACTTTGCCTGCTCTCGTCGTGTGGGAACCAATCGCCATCTTGGTGATGCAGCATCATCAAGGTTCTATACAAAAAATGAAGTAATAATAAATATAGTTGAACCAATTAAAAGCACTTGGTAAAGAGAGTTCCTTCTAACAAACAATCAAGAAACTTTAAAATCTCCAACTATTACTTCAATTTCTATTTATGCCTCATTTGGTTTTTGCAATTGGAAAACAAATTTTACAAAATGAAGATTACATTTTCACTCATTTTACATATGAAAATAAAATAATCATATTTAACCGAATGAAAAGGTGTTTGTAAAGTTAAAAATCAATATTCATTTCGGGGTAAATCCACCTGAAGAATGAAATCGAATAAATTCATCATTTTTCAAGAAAAAATTTCTAACTTCGAACAACCAAATGAGTCCTTACTAAGAAACAAAAGCATTTTAGAAAATCACATGAATTAACTTCATAATTTTATTTTATTTTTGCTAAATAGACTAACCTAATTTTTTACTAACTAAACTAACCAGCACCCACTCATAGCAATGAGTAGATGACAATTACATCAGTAGCAGAGCGACCGCTCCTGGCTGCCTCCACCTGCTGCTCCAGAACTGGCTTGGGCGGTGGACGCAGTTCTTCGCTCAAATCAATTCCGACACTATTGATTCAATAAAATATATTAAAATTAAAAAAAAATCATTACTTAGCTAAAAGAGTAGATTTCTATAAAATAAACAAACCTGTCAAGGCTCATTGCTCGCTTCAGGCTTAGAAATCCCGAGCTTTGCTCCACCTGCGTGTTATAAATTTAAAAGAATCAAATAAAAAATGGACACCATTGAAAGAATAAACTAGGATAGGATGATAAATTTACAACCCTAGAGGGAAATGTGCTGGAGGCGTTCGGCTCGTCGCGGACGAAGCGCTTCATGTGGCCGACGAAATCCTTGTTCCAGATGAAATCGTCGGTAGATGTGAGGGGATCCCCATCACCGCCACCCCAGTATTTTCGGAGCTTTGTCGTCGTCGGAGGTCCGCCGTACTCACCTGGAGCCGTTCCAGTGGACCACTTCAGCGGCTTCTTCTTTGGAAGGATCACACGGGTCAGCCGCGGCGATGGCAGCTGAGTAAGGGAGGAGTCGGCGTCGCCACCGGTTGCCGGATTGGCCGCCGATCTAACGGCGAGAATGGAAGTTAAGGTGGTGAGGACGGCCATGTGTATGATAACTGTGGCCGCAGGAAAGATGATGTCTTCCGAGTTCCGACTTCACCATCTCCGTCCATCCGTTTCATAGAGGCTGTTATTATTATTATTAATGAAGAATTATTAAAACTCAAAATTTTTAAATTAATATATTTAACATCTAAATTCTATAATTTATTTAATCTAATAATTTTTTAAATATTTAAAGCATTTTCCTATAAGCTACATCCATACTTCCTTCGTGTTGCTCCAAAGAGCTCCATCATAAGTTAATATTATCTATATATTTACATTCCTAACAAATGTAATTTAGTTACATGAAATTACAAATGTCATGTGTGAATGCAATCAATGACCTTGTGCACTTATGAAGAGTAACATTATTTATTTCTACTTAAATTTTATTACCCTAAGTACAAAATTAGTGAAACTATACTAAACTAGTATAATTATACGTACATTAAATACACGTAAATAAAATTTAAAAATTAAATAATATTACAAATTTTAAGCATCATTTAATTAATTCAAATTTACTTCTCAAAAATTGGTTATCTACTATATGTATTACTGTAAAATAAAGAAAAAATGACATTGAAGTATAATAATTTGTTAAAGAAATAAAATGCACGAACTTACTTTGGAATGGTTTGGAGATGTATATCAAAATATGATTGTTACAGACTAGAATATTCGCGGCGATAAAGAGATATGGAGTTTAGTTTCATAACTTTGCATGAAGATCCGACACATACATATAAGAGAGCGATGTGCAAGAGTCATTAGATACACCAATATTTTTACGTGGCAACCTCTAAAAAGGGGAAAATTTCCAAAAATATGATGAAAACACTACATTAAAATTGAATGTTCTACCTTGCTTAATTATATAATAAAGCATGTATGCATTGATGGTGTTGATAGAAAGAATTGTAATGTGCATATATAACCTTGAAAAATAGATAATGATGTACAAATACGTGTATTAACTGCATATGATGCATATAATTAATAATGGATAACATAAATAATACTAATAATATTAGCGCTTATATGTTATTATTCCTTTACTAGTTTGTGAATGATTTTAGTATGATTGCTTTACGAATTTATGGATTATTGTATCAACTATTTATTCATTGAAATGATATCTTGTTCTTATTATTGATCAATTTGAGCTTCATGAATGATAACTCGAATTCACTAAAGCTCCCAATGCAAGACTTAAGAAATCAATATGCATGCTTAGTTCATTCAATATATGGAGTTAAGTGTTCTAACTTTGCATGAAGATCCAACATAGACATATAAGAGAGAGGGGGCAAGAGTCATAAGAGACATCAATATTTTTACATGGAAACCCATGAAAGGGGAAAAAATCCCTAAAAGATGATGAAAACACTACATTAAAGTTGAATGTTTCTACCTTGCTGAATCATATAACGAAGCATGCATGCATTGATGGCGTTGATAGATTGAGTTGTATTGTGCATAGATAACATTTATAAATATATATTGATGGGTACAAATACGTGTATTAACTGCATATTATGCATATACTTAATAATAGATAAGACTAAAACTATTAACGCTTATATGTTTTGATTCCTTTACTAATTTGTGAATGATTTTAGTTCGATTGATTTATTGATTATTGTTCGTATTATGGATCATTTTGAGACTTACGAATGATTAAAGTTGAATATCCAAGGCCAATTTATAAAAAAGGATTGTGTTTTAAACTAAATTAACTTGTAAGAAGCAAGGTTATGAAATAATTTAAAATAAAGCAAATACAAAGAACCAAATCAATTATTAGAGATAAAGCAAAAAAACTAAATTACGCAATCAAAATGCGGAAAATTGTTTTCCCCTTTCTATTGAATGAGGAATTTGATTTTCCGCATTCATATTTTCATTTTTCTCGGTTTATGAATAAACCATTTTAAATGAGATATTTGAAAAATTGGTATTTTTTAACGCATTAATCGCAAAAAATATATATTCAATTAAATAACAAAAAATATATTATATTATAGATATTATAAATAGAATGTGGTAAATCATTTTCGGCATTTAATAGAATACGTTAAACCAAACCATAATGTTTATTCGGTATTCTAATTTTTTATTTATGCTTAGTAAATTTATATATAATTATATAGATACTATTACATAATGAAATACATAATTCTTCATTATTTACATAATTAAATATTCAATATATAGTATAGACCAATTTATAAATCATTGAATAATACATCGGTTTATTCATAAACAGAAAAAAAAAATTGAATATGGAAAATCAAATTTCGCATTCGCATTCAATAGAATGCGGAAAAATCATTTTCCGCTTTCTATGGAATGCGGAATTAGATTTTTCGCATTCGGATTGAGTAATTTAGTTTTTTTTCTCTCTAATACATGATTTGATTCTCCGTATTTACTCATTTTAAAATTATTTTATAATATTGCTCCTTCATTTAATTTGGTTTAAAACATATTTTTTTTATAAATTGGCCTAGGCTCAACTCATCTTGGTCTGTTGATTAAGAGTTTAGGCTTCCAACTAAGAGATATTGAATTGGAACATTTGTTTTACCTTAAATAATTTAAATGTCAAAAATAAATAAATAAAACAAAGTTAATTTTACGCTTACCACTTGGACAGTTCTTTAAACTCCCCGCCCGCACTCTGCCTCGAGGCTTCCGTACCACAGATATCCTTCTGATCTCCTCCCGCGCTCACTTCCTGCAAAAAAAACGAGAAAATGCACAGAAACCCCAACCCTTATTGTTCCCACTACTATCACTTCTCCCTCTCATTCCTTCAACCTTCCATCCCATGGCCACGGCCTTCCCCCTCCTCCCACTCACCTTCCTCCCCTCCAAAATTTCCGCCTCCACCTCTACACCCCAGCGCGCCTCGCTTCCTTCCATTGATCACAAGCTCGTCATCTCCGGCGGTCGACCCATTTCTGGCCATGTCCCAATCAGTGGCTCTAAGAACTCTGCCCTCGCCGTTCTCGCCGGAACCCTCTGCTGCTCCTCTGGCCCAGTGGCGCTGCGCGGAGTACCCGACCTCCTCGACACGCGTACGATGGCCGATGTGCTGCGGTCGATCGGAGCGCGAGTCGAAGCGGAAGATCGGGATGTGTTGGTGGTGGACACGAGCGATGTGGGTGTGACCGAGCCTTGTTCGGAAAAGATAGGGAGGATTAGAGCGGGGTTTTTTGTTTTAGGACCGCTGGTGGCGAGGTTCGGGAAAGCGGAGGTGGCGATGCCTGGAGGATGCAGGATTGGGTTGAGACCTGTGGATTTGTATATTAAGGGACTTGAAGCTCTTGGTGCGGTTGCCGAGTTGAGTTAAGTGGATTTTTAAAAGCTTTGATTTTGATGGAAGTAATATCTACCTCTTCCTCTTTTACAAAGGTTAAAAGTTGAAGTTCATTCTGCTGGTTTGCATATCGCAGATTTATGCAACTGTTAATTATAGCTAGATGCCAATTGATCTTTTTAAAATTACGAAAGAAGTAACTTAAAATATGAATGCTTGTTCATACGGAAACTTTTCTTTGTTGTTGTGTTTTTTTTTTGGGTGTGTGCGTGTGTGTGCATTATGCTTGCTTCAAGCCCGGAGTTACATCTTGCTTCTAGTATCATGAGGTGCTATATATTGATTTAAATTACTAACAAGTACATAGCTTTGATAAACAGGGAGGAAAAGGTTTGTGTGTATGGTGCAAATGGCAAAGGCCTTGTTGGAGGATCATTTCATCTGGCTTACCCAAGTGTGGGAGCAACTGAAACCTTTGTGATGGCAGCATCCATGGCTGATGGTGTTTCTGTGCTTACAAATGCAGCTATGGTAAGATTTTTTACTGTTTTATCCAACCAATTTTACAACGTATTTTGCAATGTGTATTTTCTTTTGCACTAAAGAAGGCAGCTGGAGCAATTATTAGGCTATCTCCATTATGATTTAAAAGTTATAATTTTGAATCCTATAAATAATATTTCTAAAATGATCGGATATGGCTGAGTACATCATCCTAGGCCCAATATTGATGGGAGCCTCATGCACTCATACACCCTTTTGTATCTTTCGCAAGAAGATGAGGATACCAACTATAGCATAGAGGCTTCAAAGTGCCTTCTTCTTGTTTGTAGATTCAAGAATATTTATGAACAATACCATAAGAAGCTTATTGTTTGCCTAAATTTGAATGATTTTGCTTTAAACCAAGTTGAAAACTAGTTCCAGGTGGCACAAGGATTGAATCGTTTATAACTATTTGTTGAATGAGCTCCATCAAGGTTGTTTTTAAATTTGCGCTAATATGTATCTAGCAAAAAATGCTTATGATATCAAAGTTTGATTGGGTTTTCTGCATGAGGGCTTATGAATGCCTCGACTCTTATTGATGTTCTATAGGAGCCAGAGGTTGTAGACCTTACTAAATTTCTGATTGCCTGCGGGGCATGCATTGAAGGGGCTGGTACTAGCACACTTGTTATAACAGGCAGGAAAAAGCTATATGGAGCTGAGTTCACCATTTTGCCAGATCGTATAGAGGCCGGAACATTTATGGCTGCTGCTGCCATCACGCGCTCATGCATTTCTCTATCACCTGTGATCCCTCCACATGTAGCGCAGATGACAGAGAAGCTTACAGAAGCAGGGTGCAAGATCACGCAGATTGGTCCTAGCGCTCTTGAAGTAAGGACATGTAAAAATGTCCTTGTTGCTAAAATACTTGTATGGAATGAAATACTTACTTATATTGGCAGGTTTCAGCAGTACCTGAAGTAACAGGTGGAGACCTTCAAGCATTCAATATTAAGACATTACCATATCCTGGATTCCCTACTGACCTCCAAGCTCAATGCATGGCCTTACTCACCACTTGTGTTGGTTCAAGCATCATTGAAGAATCTGTATTTGAGAATAGAATGCATCACGGTATGTATTGAAGAGACTGATAATTTTTGTTTACATGTGTAAATTCTAATTATGGTTATGTGTGATTGACTTTTCCATTATTAATCTTAAGCCGGGGAGTTGTCATTTTCAAATATAGTATTTAAATTTGCTAACATTTATAATGACTAAGTAATCTTCAAGGAACCCCAGCAAAATCCACACTTACTGTAACTTAATTCTTCCATCAGGACTTCTATGATCTATCATTAATATGATCATCTTTATTATTAATATTTTCCAAACTATTTGAGTTTGCCTTTATGAATCCTCATGTCTTGTTCAGCTTTGTTGAGCATTGCTTGAGATGTTAAATATTTTTTCTTCTCAATTCATTTTAAACAAATTGATGTCACCTATGGTCAACCCTTATCCATTCTCATCCATTGACACTAGTTTTATTTACCTATCTAATGGTACATTTTTTACCCTTAGTTATACATTTTCTAACTGCCAAAGTTTATTTTCAATCATCTTTTTTCAATATATGTGCACATAACAATAATAATAACAAATAGTATGAAAAAGAGTTATTACTAATGCTAATTTTGGTTGATAAATATTTGACACAAAAAAATCAACCTATGGTCAAATGAGCCTATATAACAAGCCTCGAGTTTAAAATTGTTTCACTTAGAAGAGATTTTCACAATAATTTAGTGAAAGCAATTGCGATAGAAAGAGTATGGCTTGTAATAAATCCCAATAAAATACCTTTCCTTATTATTATTATTATTATTATTATTATTATTATTCTTCGATGCGATTGATGAGTAATTACTTTCGTTACTTAGTGAACGGAAGATTTTGGTTGGGATGTACTATAAGTCATACTTTTTTTATTGCAATTGTTTTCGTTAAATTATTGTGAAATTCTCTTGTAAGTGAAATAATTTTAAGCTTGTGGCTTCTTATATGGGCTCCTTTGACCATATGTTGAGAATATTTGACAATAAGTTAATATTATTTATAACTCATTTTCATACTATTTGTACTTGACTGTATTATTGTACATGTAACAGCTAAAAGGTGTGGCTACTTTTACAAGATCCCTTAGCCAGTACTTAAAAATTTGAATGATGTCACGTAAGTTAGCTTAATTATTGTTCTTTTCTCACTACTTGAAAAGATTATGAGTTCATGACTTATCTTGATCATCATTAGCATCATCTCAATTATTTGAGGTTGGTTTTATAGAATTCTTATTCTTTATTCATTCATAGTTTAAGCTATATAAGGTATTGAACCATATTATGTAGGAATCTTTTTTGCACAATTCTCATCCATATTACCTTTAGTCTACTATTTTCCTTCTTAATTGTTTGGCTTTAATGACTTTAATTTTATTTAGTAGTCTTATGGGTGTGATTGCCAATACTTATAATTTACTCTATGACCAATTATGGGAGATCCCTTTTTTGGAATTGTATGTTCTGATTTTTCATTCCGGATCATGATGTAGTGGATCGTCGGAAGACTCGACCTGCAAGAAGGATTTCGGTTTCTCAATCCAGGGAAGAAGAAGAAGACAAGCTCTAAAGCTTCAAAGATTAATATTTCATTCAATGAGCTTCATCATTTACAATAGCCAACTATTTAAAGAGGAAAATAGAACTATCTAGACTAAGGAAGGTAAACTAGTCCCTAAGCATAATAGAAGCTAAGATGTTCCTACATCATTCTCCCCTTGCGTAAAAAGAGCTCGACTCCGTTCGAGGCTCTTTAATTAGAAGGGAGGTAGGATGACAACAAATTCCTGGATCGAAGACTTTGAATGCTGACTTTAAAATTACCACATGAAGAGGCTTCCCCCAATCCAAGTGATGAACCTTGTGCTCATTTTCATCAAATGAAGAAAGATCTCCAATTCTCTCTGCACCATTACTGTCATCAACTTCGTTGGATTTGCTGCTCATTATCTCACAAAGATTACTGCCCTCATTGATCACAAGCTTATCTAACTGTACAAAGTCGGTACTCGGCAGTGGTGCAATAATCAAAATGCATTGAAATTTTCCTCTTGCATGTTTCTTCAACCACTTTACAAGAAGGAAGTGATGCAATTGCAACTAAAATGGGACAGACTGTATCCTCTGAATCAAACAATTTTCCCTCAGTCTTAAAACTGTCAGAAATTTCATTGCATCGCTTAATCAATGACAGAACCTGAAACTGCACACTCAGATCCCGCAGAGAATCAAATTGTGACTCCACAACCTTGGTCTGACTAGAGAAGTCACCATAAGCATTCAAAATAACTTTATGAGCGTGAACAATCTTTCTTTCAGCACCAACAATAAACATTACATTAGAAAGGTCCCAGCTCTCAAAAAAATTCGGTAGTTCCCATTTACCAAGGCCATCATTAATAATGTCAAGGATTGCAAACTCCTTACCACTCTCCACTTGATACTCTTTGCAGCCAACTTGGCTCCAAAGACTAGTGTGATGTTGAGTCAAGGGTAATATAGTGATATTTTTATATTCTACATGCTTGTCCCAACTGCTCAATCCAATATACTGAACACTAAAATTTGGCTTTAATTCAAGCCACTGCATAACAAACTCTTTGTCCTTGCCATTGAGATCAGTAATAAGAAAGAGAGAAGAAATACCGCCAGGCCTCATGTCGAGCTCCTTGATTCCTTGCTCCTCAATAGTGGCAGTGGGGCCATAATATGTAAGTTTCCTATTTTCCTTGCTCCCCTAAGCAGAGCCTGACAGCTCAAATTTGAAATCCCAGCCCTTATTGACATTTCGTCGAACAGCTTGTGAGCGTTGCAGTGAATAAGCTTTGTCGGTGTACTGCACCTAAGTTATTTGCACACCTGCAATGAAAATGTTCACAGTATCAACGTTGTGGTGGTCATTTAACTCAGTTTCTCCATCTCCATGATCCACCAAATGTCGATTGTTACTTTTCGCAAACTGATCCGCTAATACCATATGAACTTCCATCCATCCTCTGTCTAAGATCTTCTGTACCAGATGCCTGATGGAATTATCCCCACGCGGAATAGTTGGACTCATTGAGCCAACAGAAGACACCGAAATCCCAATCTCCGGCGTGGATTTAAGCTCATTCCCTTCAGCTGAGCAACCCAGGCTCGTGATCAGCAGACTCGACTGCCTGCTTCTGGCCGCCGGCCAGCGATGGTGGTGATCCAAGGCGTTTGAGTCCTCTGAATGAACCGAGCTGGCTGTGGCGGAGCTTCCTGTCGTAATAGTGGGCCGTCGATGAACGTCAGAAGACGTTCCATCCACAGGAACGAACGTGTCATCCTTCACATAAGCGACTAAAGTTTCATCTGGAGACAGTTGTGGATCAATGAGCGGAGACTCCAGATGATGTAGGGAGAGAACGAACATGTCGGAGTCCGGGAATCTGTCTGGAGCAAAATCGCGAGAGCAGAGCGGGTTCTCTGTCTGCTGGGGTCGGAGTGGAGTGGGCGCCAATGGAGGAGGGGCCGGGTAAACGGCGGAGTCAAAATGTCTTCTGCCTGCGTGCTCCAATGTTTGGGTCTTCGCTGCAGAGAAGTCAAGAGAGCGGGGAAACCGATCCTGTATGAGTGGAGGCGTCGATGCTGCACTGAGTGGGAGCGGGAGTGCGGTCTGGACGGACGCGTGATAGGATTTGGGTTCGCAGGAGCTGGTGGGAGCGGCAGCTGGAGCTCCGTGTGTGCGGGCGGCAATGGCGGAGTGGTAGCAACGGGATCAGGTTGAATGCCGGGTATGGGAATGTCGACGGAGTCAAAATCGGCGACGGAGTGATTGTTTGCAGGCGAATCTGCAGGCGGAAGTAGGTTCGGTTGCGCCTGTGTGTTGGTGGAGCAGAGGAGCGACGGGGACGGTATGGTTGCCGGCCTGCTCATGATTCTCTCCACCGATTGCATGATATTAACACATAAAGCATCTATTTGATCAATTGATGATTCCACTTGAGCCAACCGAAGGGCTTCCCAACATTGAGCACGATCTACATCCCTTCTTCTTCGGTGGCCATTTTCGTGAGGATTGTCGAAATCTTGAATGAGGGGGTCGGGATTGCGAGTGTGGTTGCGAGATGAAGTGGCGGAAGGATCATGGGCGACTAAATGAGGCCGGAGCGGAGGCGAGTCGCGGACGAAGGCCGCGGGTTGATTGCGGACTAAATGGTCAGGAAATGGGTTCCGCCATTTGAGCGGAAGTTCGAGAGGAGGGTATTCCGGCGGCGGATCACGCCATTGGAGTGGAAGCTCGAGAGGAGGATAGTCATCGATCTCCCGTCTTCTTCGGCGTCGATCGTCGTCGATCGCCCATCTCCTTCGGTGGCGATCTTCGTCGTCCGCCCATCTTATTCGGCGTCGATCTTCGTCGACCGCCCTTGTTCTTCGGCTTCGATCGTCGTCGACAGTCGACCTTCTGCAATCCATCGATCTTCGCAAGCACCTGGCTCTGATACCAACTGAAGTAATGGATCGTCGGAAGACTCGACCTGCAAGAAGGATTTCGGTTTCCCAATCCAGGGAAGAAGAAGAAGACAAGCTCTAAGGCTTCAAAGATTAATATTTCATTCAATGAGCTTCATCCTTTACAATAACCAACTATTTAAAGAAAAAAATAGAACTATTAAGACTAAAGAAGGTAAACTAGTCCCTAAGCATAATAAAAGCTAAGATGTTCCTACATCAGATCACATGCCAAATTCAATCTCGAGCTTGATGCCAAACATCCCTTATTTGAGATTTTGTATCATTCCTTATTTGGATTCATGGTCACGATGCATTAATGCGTTTGAGGTCGAAATCAAGAACTTTGTGATGGTGTTTCAAGCTATGTGCCTCTTCTTTCCTTCCTTGGATGATTTGGTATCTTTATAGTAGACTTCTTCTATATTTTGATGGAAAGCAATCTGAATATCTTTCTAGTTCCTCACATGCCCACTTGGTTATATGACTTTTTTTAGGAATTGACGGCTTCAAAATGCTTGTCAAAATAAGATTTATCGATGTGATAATCTCTTAGAGCAAGATTTTTTGGGGTTCTTCTTCTTCTTTGTGTTTGGATGTTATTAGGGGTTGGGAAAGGCCTTGTGAGTGTTGTTATTTTATACAAAACTATTTATTTAGTGTCTTTATCACATACCATGATGCTTAGTTGAAGCCGATTCTCATACCATCGTTCATGAATGGAAGAAATCTTACGTGAATATAGATTAGTTGAAATCATACCGCATAATTCTTAATGCCTTCTACTATCTTATTTTCTCTCTTTTGTTTTTTATTTTGTAACACATTGTTAACAATCTTTGTGATACTTTTTGGCATGCTCATTCAACAAGTTAGTATTAGAGCATTATTTTGAGATAGATGGTCATGGCATTCAAAATCTAGATGTCTTTTGGCTACTATTATATGACCACCAGTTTCATATCCAAATTATGATATTTTAGCTCATCTTAATGTGAATGCCTAGCTCTAAAACCTCTAAATACTTTAGAGATTGTCCAATAACAATCCTGTTAGTTCTCTTGATAGTTGTTGACCACCTCTATGATCACCTCACTATAATGTTTGCATAATGGATGTGCTTCGAAAACAAAGGACAAGAGATTTACATGAACCGATGAAATTTGCCTAAGCTCATGACATATAGGGTGATTAATATTCCACTAATCCAAAGACGAGTGCAAGGGTACAAAATATTTGAGTTGGTAGGTGTGAAGGATTAAGTGTGATTGAAGCTTAAGTTTAACAACCAACATCTTGGACAGTGGCGGAGCCAGAAAATATATCTAGGGGGGCTAAATATTTTTTTTTTAATTTTCCTTCAACTTTTTACATCCAGGCTTAAGACCAATATAATCAGTATTAAAAATGATAAAACTTTGGTAATGAATTAGTTTATTTTCTTCCTTCACAAAATGACTTCAATCATCAAATCACTTGATTTCTGCTAGAACATGTTTAATATATTAACTAAATATGTGATATTAAAAATCTCATTGCACAAAAAAAATTATAAAATCTCTTTAAGATCGAATCAATATAGGATTAAGATAATATCAATCAAGAAAAAAATGTAAATGAATAGGAAATAAATTGAGAGTGATTTGAATGGATGATCAATCTTAATCGTGGACTGTTTATTGGGCATTTAAATATCTTAGTGATATCAGAATTCGACAATCTTGGGCTCATTGGATTTGTCTTGTCTAGCCGCTCGATTCGACTATAAGAATGTCATGTTTGGAAACCGTTTGGTAATACAAATTATGATTTGTTCCTTCCAAATATACTTCGGGTCTTTGATTTGTAGTTATTTGGGTTCAGATTGAGTTGAATTTGGTGTTGTTAGGTTCGTATTTTTGAGACATTCAGTTCGACTATAAGTTTACTGAAATCGGAGTTCATATGGTCTCCGATTTAATTCTTAAAGTTTCCAACTTGATTTTGTCTTGAGATTAAAAAATAAAAAATTTCAATTTTTTTAGGGGGGCACGTGCCCCCCCGATATTGGATAAGAAAATATGAAGTAATCTTGTGTTCGATAGCTATCATCTTAAAAAATTAAGTGTGCATGGATTTTGAGTTGTTAGCCATCAACCTTAAAAACTTAAAAAACTAAATCTTATCAAAGATGAGTGATGGAATTTTGACTCCACACAACGCACCTTCCCTCCTTTGTCTCAATTGCTACTTCTTTTCATGTAGAATATCTTTAGGACTTGTCTCTAGTACTTAGTTGGGAAGATGTTCATGTCTAGGAGCAGTAATGAACAAGTTGAGGGAAATAAAATCTGTTAAGTAAAGCACGGTAAAATAAATGACAAGATTTAGTTTATCTACTTGCATTGGAGCATCAAATTTTTGTACAAGCAAAAGAGAGATAGCTTAGAGGCTAAAGTAAAAATCTAGAGCAAATACATGCAGGAGATTGTGGGAAACTTTAGGTGATCGAGTTGAGATATAATGGAGATCCCATTTTTGCAACCACGCATGCTGATTTTCTTCTATGGATCACACCCTCAATTTAGTATTGGGATTGATGCCATATGACCATGCGTTAGGATTATTCTTTTCCTACCATCTCGAGATTCATGGTAATGTTCATTGGGATGCGTGTCTGGGCAACATCTTGAATTGTGTGATGGGGTTTCAATCTGTTACTTCTCTATCTTTTGAGGATTTGGCATCTATATGTAAGAATCTTCTTCTATGATTTGGTGGCAGACAATCTAAAGTTTTTTCTAGTTGCGCACATCCTCTTGGATTATGATTTCTTGGAGGCATTAATGGCTTTATGGTGCATGCGAGAAGGGAAAAGGCTCATGTGTGAAGTTATCTCTTGGTGTAAGATTCTTAGAGTTTCTTTTTTGTGTGTAGGTGTACTTGGGAATTGAGAAAGGTTTGATGATTGCACGCTTTTTGGACATCACTATTTGTGCTTCTTTATTTAGTGGACCAAATCCTCTCTCATCTTTTATGAGCATATGCTTAGTTGAAGCCGAGCCAAGGGCAAAATCAGACTTAGTTCTTAGGGGGGGCAAACTTATAAATAACACATCTACATAATGTGTTTAATTCTGCTAGTGGGGCAATAACCTAAATTTCATAATATTTTAATTTTTTAAGCGGGGCAATTGCCTAAAGACTCCTATAATAAAGAGTAAAAAAAAGATGGAGGGAGACAAATTACCTAAATATTCATGTAAAAACAAATTTTTAATTGCCCTCCCCCCCGGGCACTAGGGAGTTCCTCCCCTGAGCCGAGCAAAGTAAATCTTAGTCATTTACTTTGTAATACATTGTTCTTGATCCTGATTATATTTCTGTACTGTCTTTTGGCCTCTTCTTTTTAAGAAATTTTTATGCTTTTTCTTTAGTTATATGCTTCAGCAACCTATCTTTCTAATATTTTTTCTGATATTCTCAGTTGAAGAGCTGAAGAAACTCGGTGCAGATATAAAAGTTGTCAGTAATACTGCTTTTATTGGTGGAACGAAGCCTGGAAGGTACATATGGGTGCAATTAGTTTTTTCTTACCTCGTCCTCAATTACCACTCTGCAAGCAGCTGAGGAAATTATTCACATTTTCTCTACGCATTCCCCAGAATTGCACTTACAGGTGGTCGGGTTCGAGCAGCTGATTTGAGAGGTGGAGCTGCACTGGTCTTGGCAGGAATGGCAGCTTCTGGAATTACTGAAGTTGAAAATATTGCTCAAATTGATCGAGGTTATGAAAGATTTGAGGAGAAGCTTTTGTTACTGGGCGCAGACGTCAAGAGAGAGACTGAAGCAGCAGTAAGCAATCTTCATCCTGTTTTACTCGCTTAAGGTATCATCCTACGCAAGTTATGTAGTAGAGAAGTTTCATTCAGATCATGCAGAAAAACCGTCAGCTCTGTATGCTCTATTCTTTGATAAATTTTTATTGCTATTATGACTGTTTGATTTATATATGATTTTTTTAGTGAAGGGAATATAATCTCTGCCTTCATTGAAAGAGTGCTTTTAGGGCTCATATAAGGGAATTTTTATTAGGTCCGGACATCTGATGTAGCTCTACATCCGGACGTCAATAAAATGTCGCCACGTGCTCTTACTCTTTACTGCGTGGCCCGACAACCCGACCCGGAACGGAAACCCGGTATTGCTATGTTCGTGTATTGCTAGGTATTGCTTGTCAATAACAAGAAATACCGCTCTGTCAAGACCAATACCGAGCAATATCTAGCAATACCTAGCAAAACAGGGGTATTGCTCGGTATTGCTAGGTATTGGTCTTGACAGAATGGTATTTCTCGTTACCGAGCAATACCGAGCAAAATCTAGCAATACTCTGGTCTGTACAAATCAGCTAATACATAGCAATATTGGGTTCCGGTTCGGGTCGGGTCGTCGGGCCGTGCAGTAAAGAGTAAGAGCACGTGGCGACATTTTATTGGCGTCCGGTTGTAGAGCTATGTCAGGTGTCTGGACCTAATAAAAATTCCATCTAAGACTTCATTTTTAGCAATAAAAAAGAAAAAGAAAGACTAAGATTTCGGTTGGGGCGGCTTTCTTCTTAAAGCATATTTCTAAATTTTCGTGCTAAAAAGTTACTTTAAGAATCAGAAAGAAAGCTGTCCCAAACGAAAAGTTTCGTTTGTGACGGCTTTCTTTCTGCTTCTTAAGATAGCTTTTTAGTACAAAAATTTTTATTTGTATTAAAAAACTGCCTTAAGAAGCAGAAAGAAAGTCATCTCTAACGAAGCCTAAGATTTATTTGAGATGGCTTTTTTACTGTTGTTTAAAGCAACTTTATATGGGTGACACCTAAGCTTAAAGAAATCTTATTTCATATTTCAATTATGTGAATTATTCATATAATATATTGGGAATATTTTCTTAATTGAGTCCAAATAATAATGGTAGAGTGATAAGAGGCATGTGCATGCCATGTTCTATCCATTTGGTGGTTCTAGAGACTTATCAGTGTATGACAAAAAGTCAAATTATTTTGCCTTTATGTTTCACTACTTATCTATTCATTATTATTTTATCAAGAAAAAGTATTTATATAAATATTATATGTTAAATGTAAAATATCATTTAAGCTGAACCTTTAATCTACTAGTCAACAAATAGTCAACCGTCACCTCATATGAAGGTCGATTTTGCAAGAAGTCAACATATAAAGTTATTTCTTTATCAACCCCCCTTATGACGTAAAATTTATTAAGCGTAGTATCAGAACGAGTCTGAAGGCCAATCCTGATGCGTCATAACACCCAATACACAATGTATTGGCTGATGTGGTGCGTCCAGATTAGCCTCTGGATGCATTCAGACTCGCACGTAATAATCTCTCCTTATGATGAACTTGATTGTCTAACTATTAACATGATTATTGGAACCATGATCATGCTTCCACATTTGATCTAAAATGAATTTTTCCTCAACCCTCCAGCTGTTATTTTAGCCTATTTAAAAGAAATTTATAATAAATTGTAAATAATCTCATCTAGGATGTTAATATGTCAACATTCTAAAATATATGAGTGGTGCTATTTAATCTTTTGCATTACAAAAATAAACTCAGCCATATTTAATATTATTGAAAAAAAGCTTAATTTTTGTATGAAAACACTTAATTATCATGTATTAATTTAATGAGCATACAAAATAATAATAATTATTATAAGATCAAGATTGAAGGGGTTTTTGCTAAAACAATATCTTTCGTTTATATAACAGGATAGCATATTCGATACACTAATGAAAAGTCACATAAATTTACAAATAACAAAAGCAAAAATATCTTCGCAAAACTACCCTTTCTAATTCATAGTGTTTATTTTGAGATAATTCTAAAATATATAATTAATTACTCATATATTATATTTATAATTAAAAAAAATTAAATAATTTTAAAAATCATTCTTACATAAAATATTTCTAATTTTATGTTATTACCATTCCTCAATTTTCATAATTATGAAAATTTTGACTAACACCTCCAATTTTAAATCCCACGCTCATCCTTCTAAAATTATTAAATTCAAATCCAAATTTTTATGAATGATAAATACATTTTATTTCATAATATTTTAATATAACAAACTATTAAATTTAAATCTTTAAAAAAACATCCACCCACCGGTACTTAGCTTGGTTGGTGGACGAGTACGGTTGGGAACCCCCAACACGGGTTTGGTTCCCCTCGAGCGGCATCGCCTCTTAAGTGGGGCCCAATTAAATGCGGGTCAGGAGATTTCTGAGGTGTATGTCTCTTTTAGGTCAGCCGATGATTAGTCACGCCACCAAGCGCCCTTCCGATGGAATTTTTATTAGGTCCGGTGTCCTGACGTAGCTCTACGTTCGGACGCCAGTAAAATGGTGTCACGTGCTCTTACTCTTTACTGCGCCGCCCGACGACCGGACCCGGGATATCTATGCATTAACTGATTTGTGCAGACCGGGGTATTGATAGGTATTGTTTGATATTGCTCGGCAATGACGATAAATATCATTATGTCAAGACCAATATCTAGCAATACCGAGCAATACACCGGTTTTGCTAGGTATTGCTCGGTATTACTAGGTATTGGTCTTGACTGAGCGGCATTTCTCGTTATTGTCAAGCAATATCTAGCAATACCGAACAATACCTAGCTATACCCAAACATAGCAATACCGGGTTCCGGTCCGGGTCGGGTCGTCGGGCCGCGCGGTAAAAAGTAAGAGCACGTGACGACATGTTATTGGCATTTAAATGTAGAGCTATATCTGATGTCCGACCTAATAATTGTTCCTTCCGAGGGCGGTTATGGGTGGAAAAAAAAATCCTCCCATTGGTCATTATTATAGAACTGGCAATTCAGCATTTTCTAACTGTGGAATTCAGACAAAAGCATTTTGATTTGCTTTTACACAATCATTTGTATGCATCAAATTCGGTCAAATAAGATATCCAAAGTCTCAAAGAGAGAAAGCTGATCTGTTTGCTTTTGCGGTTGGAGTTTGGTCTTTCTTAGATACAGTTGACGAGCTCCCAACTGTGTGTCCCTTTGCTTTATAAGAAAAATTGGTTAGCTCTAACAAACCTCAAACAACTCTCTTGTAACTAATCACACGTATCTCCTTAGCAAAATAAATAAATAATATGATATTCTGCCCATTTTTATAAAGTGTGACTAAGAAAAAAAAAATTTTTTGGGAAAATTAAAAATATTTTTTTTAATAAATATATTTAAGGAGTGAAGCGATGTTCTATCAAAATATGTGATCTCATGCATCTTCTATTTTATATTTCAAAAAGTCAATGTGGAAGATTCACTGTGCGTTTGGGATGGCTGTAACTTTTTATAAAGGTAGTTGAAAAGTTATTGTGAAGAAAATAATTTTTTTAAAAGTTGTTGTAGAAAGCATCTTCATAGTTTAAGAATTTATTAAAAACAATAAAAAAAATAGTGGTCAAATAAAAATTTTGGTTGCGGTTTAAAAAACAAAATAATAAGAAAGATGGCTCAAAAGAAGCCTCTGTAGGCTAGAGAAAGAAGGGAAAGGGATATCGTAGAGTTGTCTCTTCAATGGGCAAATTATTGCATCCGGTCATCGGACGCGGAGATAGGTCCAGATATTAATAAAATACTATTTTAAATTAAGCACGTCAAAAGCGTAGGAAAGCGCAGTCAAAAGCACAAGTAAAACGAAGTCAAAGCTCACCTAAAGCGCAGTCAAAAGTGCAGGTGACGTGGCATGTTTTTATTGGATGTCCGAACCTATTATGTGCGTCTGGTGACCGCATGCAATAATTTGCCCTCTTCAATATATGACCCTTTTTTGTAATAGTAAGAATATATGAAAGGTTGATCCTTCATTGAAATAGTATGAGTATATGAAAGGAGCATGAAAATTATAATAAAATTTAAAATAGATGAAATTTTTTCAATAGTATAAAACATTTATATGAAAATATAATATAGTTATTTTGTATTACAAAATAATAATCAAATTAATTAATTACCACCAACTATTTGTTTGAGTGGTATTAACATCAACTATAAAATAGTGATCTAATATTTGAATTATTATACGAAAACACTTAATTCTTAAAATTATATTTGACACTGATAACTTTTATAAAAGAAAGTATTCATATTCAGTATTTGCCTTATATTTTTTTATAGCATGCTAGAATATTTTTGATAGTAGAGGAAAAATTTATCATCATAGTGTTAGATGAAAAATCTTGCACACATAGATAAGTTGAATGCATCACACATGATACTTGAGATTTTTACATGAAAAATCATAAAATTGGATAAAGCAATGGTCTAACATAGTTAAAATAATTTAAATTAGGGATTAGAAATGATGTTGTCCCATGATTAGAGAATGATTTTTTTTAAACAAAAAAACAAAAACTTTATTAAAACATAAAAGGAGTACAAGAAGCATAGGAGCGAAAGAACAAAAAAAGCAATAGAAGATACATGGGAGTTGCAACCCAACGGGCTCAGTAATTGGCCGAGGCTTCCAACTACATTATAGCTAGGTACAGACAATCCAATATGGTGTGGAGAACAAAAAAACACAAAGCAGCCAACCCAACTGAGCAAGAAACCACCACCAAAGGTTGCCACGAGCCATGGCTACGGAGAAGTGAGCCCCAGCCACATCATTGCCCAGCAAATCAACCGACCTTCAGTAAACTTAAATCGAAGCTCCAGTGAATCAGCAACAAGCAAAAGCCAACCAATGCACAAACTAACCACCATCGAGAGGCAGCAAAGACAACCGAGAACAACAGCACCAACCCACAAATTATTTGCTCCGATGTTTACCCCTCCCACAAGAGGAAATTGAAACAACAAGACGATCATTCGTTAAGGGAAAATCAGCCACAAGTTCATCATCCTCACTAGCTTATGAAAACGAATCAGATGAGCACTGAAGCTAATCAAGTTGCATCCTAACTTCCTCCCCTAAATTGGCACCCATATGAGCAACCAACGCCTTAGGTGATACAAAATTAACAGGGACCTCAACAAAATGACCAGTTATAGATGACGAAATTGGATAAATAAAAGTTGGAATAACACCAAATCCCACATTCACCACGCCCGAAGGTGTAACCAATCTATCCCCACTCAAATTAATTAAAGAGCAAAGCAGCTGAGACCTAGGGGACAACTCATTAGGGATGCCATAGTCACCAAAATCCTCCACAGCCACACAAGGCACCTCAATACTATTTAAAAAACACGACGCAGACACAACATCCACCACAGAAAAAATATGACAAGAATTAACAGCACAACCCAAAAGACCACCAGCACTAGCACAAGCCCGAGGGACCTGAATAGAAGGTAAGATTATAGCAACACCAACCTCATCAACATAAATCATACTGTTCAACAAAATAACAGGCAAAGGGTTAGGAGAAGTCGGCACCAGATACCTCAGCTCATTAATAGGAAGCAAAATAGTAACATCTTCCTCAAGAATACCAACATCACAACCCAATCCCTGCACCTTAAGCACCGATACATAAGGGACAACAGGGTTCACAGAAACAACTGGGTTCATATAAACCTAAACAGCAAGTTTAATAGGTAGGGGCAAATTCGCAGAAACCTTGGGACGACAATTTCCCACAACATGCCCGATACACCGACAAGAATCACAAAAATGAGGGAATTCATCCATAACCACTTGCTGGACATAACCTAGCTTCCCCGAACCTAACCAGACCTTATCAGGGTAGGATTTAGTGATATCCAGCTCCACTAAAATACGAGCTAAAGATGATATAGAACCCAAAGAAGTGGCAGCATCAATTTTTAATGGTTTGCCAAACAGAGAGGTCAAACCATGAAGAATACGCGGGGAGAAGAGATGAGGCCGTAGTTGTGAAAAAGAGACCCAAATCGGGATGAACGATAACTCAACACCAACATCAACAAGGGGAGACCACTTGGTAAGCTTCATGTAGCAATTATAAACTAGATAAGATCTATGGTAGAAAATGCGACAAAAATGGTAATTAGCAAGCTTGATAAGAACATGAGATGGATCTAGCAAGGTGACCGAAACCTCCCCATTTAGCTTAAGATTGAAAAAAAAAATTTACATATGGTATCAAGAGACAGGCGTTTAGTAGGGAAAAACCAACTAAAAAGAACTGAAAAGGAACAACCAGAGTCTGAATTTCTTGATCCGATATCCAAAGGGAAGGCAAACCACGAAATGAAGATGCCCTAAGTTCAGGAAAATCATTTCTGGAAGAAGAAATCGAAAGAAAATAAAAAGATGAACGCGAAGAAGGCGAACCCCCTAAAAACAAGGGTCGCAAAGCTTCGACGCCACCCGGCACGCGCCGGAGGAAGAAAAATCACCAATAAAACAAAATCGAACTAGCAAAGAAGAGAAAAACTTCCCTGGTATCGAGAAGAAAGCCATCCCGTCGGAGAGCAGCCCGACAATTGCGAAGGGAAAGCTAAGGCAAAACCCTAGCGGAGCAACCGAAATGAAGGCTTAAGGACATGTTATTATTTATCAATAATAATAGTTAGATCAACTTAGATTAGAGAATGATTAATATAATATAATAGACATAAATCGTGGAAGACCTCTAATGTGATAATAGTAAGAAGAATATTGAGATGACAGAGTTATGGTTGATGGTAAATGTTTAATGGTAGTTGAAAGTGAATGTTGAAAGTCAGGGTAATGCAAGCACTCAACTTGATTGTTCTCCTAACTAAGAAAATGAGCATCCAAAGTTAGTGTTTGACGAGAGATATTAGGTGATGGTCAATGAGAAATTTCAAAAATCAAAATATGATGAGCGATTAGGATCACACAACTTGAAAGATGTGCATCAAGCATTGATGGTGGAAGGATATTGAATACTGATAATTGGTTAATGGATGATGGACAATAAGAAACATCAGAAGTTAGTTGGTGGCAAGTGATCAAATTGATTGTTCTCCTAATATAAGAGGAGACCATGTGATCTCTTAGATGGGCTTCAAGTGTTGGTGGTTTACAAATTCTCAATGACAATCATTGTCAGGTGTTAGATGATGAATATACGGGATGATGGGCAACCAATTTGGTCATTCTTCTAATAGAAGAGGAGACCGACACTATTGCTACGATTATCAATGCTTAGCAGGCATAAAAAGATGATCAGTAAGGAACATCATAAGTTACGCAATGATAAGTTGTTAACTCGATAAATATGATGGATAATGAATTTCAAAATCGTTCATTGATAAACATTAGATGTTAATTGATAGGAATTTCTAAAAGACTAAAAGTCGCACGATGTTAGAAGCCTGATGCGACTGTTCTCTTAGTAGAAAATAAAACATGGTAACCAATAAAATATGCATCCAACATTGTTGGTGGTCGAGAATATGAGCAATGGACATCAATCTCTTATTTTCCTTCTTTTTTAATTTTTTATTTAAAATTTTCATATTTTTTGTATTGTTATCAATTTATTTATAATACTTTTATACAATATTAAAATGATATTTTCTCCCACCATCGCAAAGATTTCCATCATGCAACGAGAATAAAAAAATAAAAGTATATCAGTAGCATACAATTTTAGCCGATTGAACTAAATACATCGATACCATTGCTGATTGAACTAATTTTTGTATAGATTTCTTATATTTTTTTAATTAATAATTAAAAATATAAGTATCTGATAATTTAATCATTTCCAAACATTATCATCGCCAAATTCTCCAATGAAAGTGGTCCTATCGTAAATATTTAAATATTTTTTATTTAATTTCTAAGCTTATCGCCTTATCCTGACGATGCTGGTACTGAACGGCCTGTCTAATGCATTAAAACTAATAATAATAATATTTTAAATTAATATTCAAGCAAGCTCATAACTTATTCTAACCGTTCTCTATTTAATTTTGTACCTTCATCATTAACGACCTAACCTCTTCTCACGTCGCTATCAAATTAAAACATAGACAATTCTTCAAGAAAAAGGATTTGTTGCCACATTTTCTTATTTATCCTAATATTTCATTTGAGACAGCTTACTCTTACTGTTTTATGAATTAATTTTTTAGTAAAAAAATTTTTAATTAAAAAAATTATACTAAAAAATTGCTTCATAAAATAATTAAAAAGTTGTCCCAAAAAAAGCCTAAGCATACTCTGCATGTTTGATTTTGATGTTTTGATATATTGAGTTAGCTTAAGCGGTTAGGTCTAATATAAAGATGCATCCGGATGTAAATCTGGACGCGTCACATCACTCAATATATAGTGCATTAGGTGATGTGGCACGTCCAAATTAACCTCCAAATACTACACGTAATAATATCTCCATTAAACTCTTTATATCTCTCTTTCTCATTTTGATGTAGCATAAGAATCTAATATCATCATTGTTCTCCTTTTTTTAGTGCAAAATAATATTAATTAAACTTTGATTAATAATGATTCAAATATTTTATTTTACTTTGTGCATATTTATATAATTTATTTACGCCAATTTAACAATTATTCTTTTGTACCACAATATAAATGGTGATGGTCATTATGAAGAAGTGATTAAGGCTTCATTTAGGACGACTTTTTTTATTGATTTTTAAATCGGATTTCTAGTACAAAAAATTCAAATTAAAAAATTTCTTGAATTTGATTTTTTTGTACTAAAAAGCTGTTTTAAAAAACAGTAAGGAAGCTGTCCCAAACGAAGCCTAAACGTTTTTAAATAAAAATATTGCATATGATCAAAAGAATGGTAATGCATGTGTTTTTATGTGAAAATTTGAGAAGAAATAATTCATGAGGTGTTGCTTGGTTGAGATAATTATACTACTTATAGATGAGAATTAGCTATCGATCCTCTCAACAATTAGAAAATGTGTGAATTAACGTAAAATATTTGAGTCAGGAGAAATGCCGGTTTGGTGTCGGTAGAAGGAGATCGAGCATGTCAAAGATTGCACTTAAATCATATTTGAATGATGGTTAAATTATCTTCAATTCATGATTTGAATAATCCTCAGACATCAATCTAATCGAGATCTAACAATTTGTGAACTATAATCAAAACGTCATTCAATCATGGTCGAACGATAGTTTTATCATAACTCAAAGATTGTACGAATCATTATAGAAGGTGGTTCATTTATACAGTGTGAGGGTGGGCAACATCGATCCGCCTGTGATTGTTATCGAGGTGGAAGTTAATATCAGGGAGAGAAAATTGACATTTTTATCTACAAAAAGTAAATGATTTGTAAATTAAATTTAAATGCTCAATATATTAATGAGATGATTTTGAGCGCTATTATTTATACTAATCTACCTTAAAAAAACATAAATCTCAAATATTTTTGTATACAAATTTCTTAATAAAATGTAGGCCGGTCACTGGAGGCCAACATGCCACCAATGTAATTAAATGCACCTTGGAGCCGTCTTTGGAGACGGAACTCGAACACTAAATGCCAAAAGAAGCCGATCGGGAGCGAAGGCCAAGAATGAAGGATATGAGCCGTCACTCCTTATGTTTGTTTTGTAAGCAATAATAAAAGAGTAAATAGGATTAGTCATTTACTTTTTTAAATTTTCATTAATTCTTAAAATATAAATATTTTTTATTTTAATTAACTATATAAATAAGTAAATTACTATAAACTCTGAACGAAGAACTAAATATTGGACAGTTAAAACAGAAATATCCCAAAAAAAAAAAAAAAAAAGAGTTGAAGTATTTAATATTTATATCTGCGAACTTGAAAAGTTTTTACCTAAATGAAAAGAAAATCGATAGCAGAGCAAGAAGTCTCGGGTTTGGCCAATTGTTCTCAGGCCTCCATAAAGGGTGGAAGAGAGAGGAGACAGAGAGAGGAGGATGCTTCTTGGCAAGGGTTTGGTGTAAGTCGTTCGATTGCAGAGAAAGTTCTGCAAGCCTGTTTCTCTTCAGTCTCTCTCTTCCCAATCATCCCTCGATCTTTCTCGTGCTTCACGGACATACAGAACTCTCTTCCTCCATTGACGTGGTACACTCGTCTTTCTCTCTCCTCATTCATCTGGACGTAAGGGGGAGATTGGGATTGGAAACCAGAAAAGCGCCGCTTATTTATTGGACTTGGTCTTATGTCACGAGCTGCTCGGTTTAGTGGGAAATCTAGGGTTTTCTCTTCACTCTAATTATCTTTGACAGGTTCCGCGCTGCTTTGGGTTGATGGAAGTGAAGGGAGGTTGTGTGGAGGGGGTGTTTTCCTGTGAGCGGTAGAGTTGAGGATATAATTCGGAAGAGCAAGGGGTTTTAATCTTTCTTTTGGGGTTCTTGGATTGATGGGGAATCGGATCGGGAAGAGGAGGCAGGTGGTTGACGAGAAGTATACAAGACCACAAGGGTTGTACCTTCACCGGGATATCGACCACAAGAAGCTGAGGAAGCTCATTCTTGACTGCAAGTTAGCGCCTTGTTACCCAGGAAACGATGAATGCATTTTGGATCAGGAGGAATGCCCTATATGCTTTCTGGTTAGAATACATGTTTTCGATTCCCTTTGTCCTGTTCTTCTCGTTTCTTGTTAGTTTTGCAAGTTTCTGTGACTCTTACTGCTCAAATAAAGTAGGAGCTCTGCAAAAGTGCTGTTGTTTTGGATAGGAATTAAAAGATCATGTGTGCTGTCTTGCCTAGGAAGAATGTCACTGAATCGGTTGTTGTTATTAATATTGTTGAAATTTTATTTCTCTTGGTGCTTGAATTGGACAAAAATCGTATAAGAATGGTAGACCTTACTCTCTTCTTTCTATTCACTCCTGTTATTCTAATATACACATCTTTTCAAGGCTCGAGGTGAAAATTGTGTTATTCTTCTCAATTGAGATGGGGCTGGTTGGACCTGAATATAGTTTTCTAAGAGGTGAAATGCTAGCTTTGATGTAGGTAGTGTATTTTCAGTTTTGGTTTGACGTCTTGTTGATGCTAACTTAATCAGAGCGGAACTAATTAATTTTCCTTGATGGGCAAGAAACATGTAACTTATTGACTAACTGTTAGTGTAATCATTCTTATTGTCAGTTCTATCCGAGTTTGAATCGATCTAGATGCTGTTTGAAAGGGATCTGTACAGGTACATGTAATTTCTACACAGTGCCTCTTATGGTAAAGCTATATGTATTTATATTCGTTTTTGTTGACACCATCCATGAATTGACATGAATGCTATATGCCCCCCTACCAGAATGCTTTTTACAAATGAAGCCACCTCATTCGTCTCGGCCAACACAGTATCCTTTATGAGTGTCTTTTAGGCCATTGAAGATTAGAATGATTGATATAAACCAATACATATGTTTTCACTTAACACTACAAGGTGTCCCTACTGTAAAACATCCAACTATGCTGTGGAATATCGTGGCGAGAGGACAAGGGAGGAACGGGGCCTCGAACAAATTGTAAGTTTTCATGTTGTCATTGCTATCAACTTTATAAGGCATAATGATGGTCCTAGGCGGTCAAAAAAACATTTTTTTTCTATGTTTTTACTTCTTTGTTCATACATTTTTGATTGTGATGTTTCTCTGTAAAGGGGCAAAAGGTAAATCCTCATATTTTGATGGTTCCATACTAAGGGCAGTCCTAATTGCAGGAAGAACAAAAGGTCATTGAAGCACAAATAAGAGTGCGGCATCGGGAGATTCAGGATGAACATGAAAGATTAAAGAGAAGGCAAGACTTAAGTTCGTCTAGCAGAGTAGCAGCTTCTGAAGAAGTTGAATGCCATGATGAAACGAACACCTCACTTTCAGGTTCAAAATATGCCATGCTTGCTATCGATGCAATTTAATGTAATATGTATTGTATTTTTTTCTCTCTATTTCAAAATAGTAAATTTACCAAACATTCTCTTATTGTTGTTTTCAGTGTCAACGCATGCATACCAAGAGCAAGGGTCTGGATTTGTTTCTTCTCGAAGCTTATCCTCCATTCCAGTTGACACTAGATCCCATATTAGACAACGCAGGTTAGTGTATTGTTTTTTTCTTTTTTGAAATTAGGATATTGAGTGATTTTTTAAGTTTTCATTTCATTCTGAAGTAGAGTCAATGTGTTTTGTGAATTTGGAGATAGATTACATCGTCCTCCTAATATTTATAGTTTCACATGAGTATGATAAAAATGTTGCAATATTCATGTTGGACACCTCGTTGGGTACAAATAAATAGTTAACCAAAATTGGATGGAAAATGTTTGTTTTATTTTTACTTCTCGGATATGAAACAAGCACACCAGCTTGTCTAAGAACAACAATGTCTGTGTGGGACACCTACTTGATGCTTTGACATTTGCACACTCTAGGAAGTTGTGTTTGACATGTCAGACTATTCCATTTTTCACCTTTTAGAAAAAACTTGAACAAATTCTTGTATGTTCCTAGGACACTTCATGGATACGTCTTGAAGCTTCTGGATCACTTCTATACCATTTGAAGAATAGTGGATGAAATATGTAGCTCTAAGTTATATCTTTACCCAATCCTATTTCAAAAGAGTTTTCTTTATACTATCTTTTTTTTTTGTTAATGCCAAAGCAATATGCTCATAGGATTAGTTTTTTTTCATTAAATCAAATTGTTAAATATTTCTCATACTATAAGTTCTTTTAATATGCTCTCTCTTAGGCACTATATAATATGTATCTTAGAAACTCTTAGAACGGTTTCATGATGGTGTTGATCACTACTCATGAACAAATGCCTAACTTGTCATATCATGTGCCCCGTTGGAGGGAGGTTATCTCCTCTAATCTCCTCATTTCCTAAATTCCATCTCGTTGTAGTTCTCTTAGTATTTTTTCCATTGCCTACGAATATCTCCTTCACAATTCTTCTATTTATATTACTTCTGAGAAACACAGAAGTACCAGCAAAATTCAAATTTTGATTCATTTCATTAGTTTTGATGTGAGTTTGATGACTGACTATCAAACTAAACATCAATCAACTAGTTTGATAAAATAATTATATTAAAAAAAAAATCCTTATTACCTTATTATCTTTCAAGCTTCTGTTATTTTGGTTGTGTATCTCATGAATCCTAGATCAACGGGAAGCAGAGATCCTTACAATAATTGTTGAAACTTTAATCATCCCACACTGTAGACAAAACACGAGTAAAATTGTTATGTTATCTTAAACTATGCTGTGCTAGTATTTAAAATTCTTTATCATAAAGATGTATATTTATAGATATATATTAATTTTGGAAGAGGTAATATTTCTCTTCATAAAACCACGAAAGAAATGGAACCCTCTCTCCAAAATCTCATATTAAGTTTCTATATATATATATATATATATATATATATATATATATTTTAAATTTTTAAGTTTTGCTTGCATGACTAGAGAAAGGAGCCTTGTTTATAGATAATCGGCTGGCGTGATAATTAACATCACTTTTTGAAGAAAATGTTGTGTTAGGAGTAAAGGTTTTTTTTACACTAAATTGCATACAATTTCGGGCAATCCTTGTCTTGACTTGATCGAGTCTGAGATTGTTGGGCGCTGAATTATTTGGATTCAATCTGGAAAGTTTTTTATTGCCGTAATATGTTGTCCTGTTCGTAAATTTACTTTATAGAATTGATTACTTATGGGGAAAAATGGAGGTTTCCTCCACAGTAAGTGGATCTTATTTTAACAAAACAAGTGACCGCTTGCTATTGTGCAAAAAAGGCTTTAAAATAGAGATCAAATATAATCATTTAGCTCAATTTGTGTGTACAAAGACTACAATCAATATCATGACAGGAAAAAAACAATACCATGACTGTAAAAGGAAAATATTTTTCAGGAAAACTTTAGCTAGCTGGTAGGCCATTTGGGTATCTTTCCTTCTTTTGTGAAAACTTTCTAGGGATGAGATTTTCTTGAGCAACTAAGTAAAAGGCCTATAGAATATTTGCCATTCTATATGTTTCTCTCTACTGAAGTATGCAGTTTTCATTATGATTGGTTTTTATGATCAAGCCTTCAACTTACAAAAAAACACCAATGCTGTTGAACCTGATCTATCCAGCAGAATAACTAGGAAAACATCATAACTTTTTCAATAGTTAGTTATTTCATTGTAGTTCAGACAAAATACCATTTGAATATTATTATTGATGATGTCAAAAGGTCTTGAAGAAGTTATTTTACAAATTAATCAGCTCAAATCCCAATGAGAACAAGTTGTGTTCTCTTATGTTGTTTTTCATTATATGAGTTGAGTGCCACTTACAACCTATTACATTCTATTGTGTGGTTTCAACATCTAGCTAGCTACTATGATTTTCATCTTTTTTGTGTTCTTTAGCGGAGAACTTCTTGCATATGGCCTTATCTTATGACTTAGTAAATCGAGGGGATTTATTATAAATAGGGATATCTGAGCATATAAAAGACAATTCTATTAATTTTCTAACTTGATTATGTATTGTTTTCATCTTTGTTTAAGTGTTGGTTGGACATAATTCTTTATATTATGTTGCAGTTGAAGATTGCAAATTTTTGGGGAAGCTATATTCTCTTGCCAATGTGATACGAAGTAGAAAAACTTTCAACCAAATCAGTGAACCACAAGAGAAATTGGGAAGAGGAACACACCACAAATCTTTTTTATTTTAGAAAATATGAAAGAGAATAAACAAGATGCAATAGATCTTCAATTGGAGAGGAAGATCCAGCTCTCCCAAATCTCTAGCCACCGGTTAGAGCCCAAATACCCTAAGAACAATCTAAATTCAACAAGCAACACATATCTTTGGATAAATCAACTATTTAAAGCAAACAATAAACAATAAAATATCAAAACAGCCCTCTCCTAATTCCCTCCCAAATTAGCCCCAAGCTAACCATATTTCCTTAATTATTTCCCTCCCAAATCAGCCCCAAATCTGTCTTCTTCAATTAGGAAACAATTCTTGATTAATCCACTCCAAATCAGTCCTCAAATTAGCTTTCTTCAATCACAAAACATTTTCTAATTAACCCCTTCCAAATATGACCTCTTCAATTAAGAAACCTCTCTTAATTATTTCTGTCTAAATCAACCCCCAAATCAGCCTCTTTCCCTTAATTAGCTTCCCTCCCAAATCAGCCCCAAATCTGTCTTCTTCAATTAGGAAACAATTCTTGATTAATCCACTCCAAATCAGTCCTCAAATTAGCTTTCTTCAATCACAAAACATTTTCTAATTAACCCCTTCCAAATATGACCTCTTCAATTAAGAAACCTCTCTTAATTATTTCTGTCTAAATCAACCCCCAAATCAGCCTCTTTCCCTTAATT